TTCTTCAGAGGAAACTTTAGACGGGTAAAGATGGCCGTCATTACATTCATGTTTAATATGCTTTTGTTTTTGATGTGTGTGAGCAGGAAAAGAAACTGATGAACTGTACAGACAATATTTAACCATGGTGAAATTACAGGATATGGTCTGTAATAGACATGGACAAATGGTTTTCCTCCTCAGAGTCCGAACTCAGTCAAACCTGAACCTGTTGATCTGATTCAGTGTGACTTCACTTCCTGAGGATGTCCTTATCTCTGATGTCCCTCCACAATAAAGCTCCAGAGAAACAGAGGCTGCAGAACCTCATGGAGAACATGTTAAACAGACCTATATGTTGGTGTTAGTCAGAGAAACTATCAGATCTGACCTCAGGAATGAGATTGTGTCTGATTTATTTAGAGGTGGGAGGAAAGGTTGTGAATCAGGTCTTTCTGGATTCCTCACTGAGGTGGAGGGAAATGATAGAGCAGAGTCTAATGAAACCACAGTCAGATAAAATCAAAGAGGGAAGGACAGAAACTGTTCAACCTCAGATCAAAATCTGTTGCTCAGGAACTGATACAGGTCTAAGCCCAAGAATGTGGACGGTGATTTGCATGATCTGCTCCTGATCCCTCCTCCATCACAGGTGAAGCTGTGACTGATTCCAGGAAACAGCTCACCTGTCTCACTCTTTTCTCTGCAGGCGTCAAATGGAGACTCTTCTTCTTCAACTGTGTTTGAACCAAGTGTAAGTTTGCTTTGTTTGATACGTTCACTTTGTCTTTAGTGACTTCACTGCGTGTTTCCTGCTGTGTAATGTTTGTATTTGTTCAGTTCTTATTTCATCAGGGTTAGAGGTTAAAGAACTCTTGTGTTGAAGGATTAACATCCATGTTGTTGGATCATTGATTTACTGGAATCAAACAATATGATCAACAGCTGATGTTTATTTCCTGTCCTCACCTGTCGGAAAACAAAGTACCTTTATATGTGGGTAGAAGACGTCATCTCCACCAGCGTAAAGTCAGACACAACAGAATACTGTTTCCTGTGAGTCCTTTCAGAGTAAAGTGCAGAGAGTACTTGAAGCTGTAGTGTTGCTGCCTGTGTTCCTGTTGTAGTGATGTGTAATGAGGCTGTTGGGGAGGTGGAGATGAGAAAAATCTCTTCACATTCACAGTAGAGGACTGATGTGGAGGGGCAGTCACTGTGTTATGAAGATCCATGTTGCTTCAAGTCTTCATCGTGCACATATTCCTGTCCTACATCTCCCTCAGACCAGGGGATTTGAAACAGTTTGAGTTTCTGTCTTTATGTGCTCAGGTCCGTATCACAGGAAAAGTGTATGAATGTACAGAGGAGAGTGTCAGTGATGTCTAAACCATGTTATAAAATATATATTTAGTCAAACTGTCTCTTTAGCAGCAGCTGAATCAGCTGTGATCAGCTCCTGTCTGCAGTGTCTCATGATGTTCTGTTTTACTGTGAAATTGAAGGAAGCTTTATTGTGGAGGGACATCAGAGATAATGATATAATGAGTAAGTGAAGTCACTGAATCAGATCAACATGTGTTTGACCATTAAGTGTTTTAAAGTATCTTAATCTCTCTTATGTTGTTTAGTGGTCGGGTTGTAAAACTGAATCAGTGGATGTTAATGATCGTCCATGATCCCGTGTGTTTGCTGGGCTGCTCTTCACGTCACTGCAGCTTCATGACGCCATCTAGTGGACGGATGGTAGAAGTACAGCAGCTGATGGCAGCTTCCTCTGCCTCACACTGATATGAAACAGAGAAGAAGAGCCAATCAGTGGAGGAGCAGCTGGAGAAATGATGTACATTTGAGTTGATGTGCAGATGAATGATGTGTGTTTCTCTCCACATGAAGGTAGAAAGTGTGTGTGAGCTGATGTGGATGTGAACTCAGCAGCATGGATCAGTGTGAGGACAGAGAGGAGGGAGCCCCTCCCTCTAAAACCACTCTGTGTGGGGAACATGAGAGCCAGACCAGAGCTCAGAGGTGAGATGAGGATCTCTAACTGTCCATGACTCACATCACTGCTCCATCATTATTCACACTCAAAGCTCTGTGTGTGTTAGGGTTAGAGACACACCACACTCTGCTGGACCTGGACCTGGACCTGGACCTGGACCTGGACCTGGATCCAGCTGTGTGTCCATGAAGAGTGACCGGTCCATGGATCTTCCTGTTCATTTCAGCCAATCTGTTGATGGAAGGTCAGAATTTAAAACAGTCAGAAAGACGTTTCTCACTAAAAGTCAGTTGTTGTGTTTATTTAAAGATTGAAGATATTTTTCATCAGTTTTTATTCAACATGAACATTTATCAGTTCTGTTTTTGTTTCAGGATCCAGCAGCAGAGACCAGACTCTCCTGAACCCAGCTGTCTGTCGTTAAAGAGCGACGGGTCTATGGGCAGGATCATTGAGTTTAAAGGGCGACGTCCATCAGCTGATCAGATGTAAGCTGTAACTGACAGTGAGACTCAGGTTATTGTAGAAAAGAACTAGTTTGTACGACGTGTTGTTGGACCTGGTCTGAAATCAAAGTGTTTGTGTCTGTTGTGAACGTCCTCACTGGAAGGTGGAGGTAAAACAGTGGAGGGTTGGTGAGAGCTGTTGGGACTAAAGCAAACACTGAGCTGAAAGCTACAAACAGCTGCAGACTGAGCTGTTGATTCTCAGTGGGATCAGCAGGACTAGTAAACCTTTACCGCTACAGGGAGTCGTCTGATTGGCTGTCACATCCAAACGTGACTTCATGGACCTTTAGCTTGTGTCTGTCTCTGTGTGGACAGACATAATGTGAGCTCATTCTTCATGATTCCTCCACAGAGTGGACCAGGAGAGCTCAGAGGTTCCCAGTGCTCAGTCTGCCCAGCAGCATCAAACACAGCTGGACTCCATATTTATGGTCTGTACATGTACAACAACTACTGCTCCATCTGTTGTGTTCACAATAATCTCCATGCTGCACTTTCAGACCAGTGGACTGTCAGTCTGTCCAACATGGATCTGATGTTTGATGCTGTCATTCATATAGTTTTCTGTTCCAGCTGCTGGAGGAGAACATGGTCACTTTTGTCAAGAACGAGCTGAAGAAGATGCACAAGCTTCTGAGTCCAGATTACCCAGAATGCTCGGAGAGTCAGAGGGAGGATGAGGAGGTGTTGGACGCTGAGGATGAAGAGCAGAGGAGGAACAGCAGAGAGGCATTTGTGAAGATCACAGTGAACTTCCTGAGGAGAATGAAGCAGGAGCAGCTGGCTGACTGTCTGCAGAGCAGTAAGAGGATTTCTCTAAAGATTCAACATGATGGAGAAATGAGACATTTACTAACATCAACACATGGAGGGAAATATGGTCATATTGTCATTCTTTAGGGGAATTAAATGTTGTATTTTCTCATTGATCTTGTTTCATGTTTGTTCATTCAGGAGATTTTGCTCCAGTTTGTCGACGTGAACTCAAATCTAACCTGAAGAAGAAGTTCCAGTGTGTGTTTGAGGGGATCTCTAAAGCAGGAAACCCAACCCTTCTGAACCAGATCTACACAGAGCTCTACATCACAGAGGGAGGGACTGGAGAGGTCAATGATCAACATGAGGTCAGACAGATTGAAACAGCATCCAGGAAACCAGTCAGACCAGAAACAACCATCAGACAAGAAGACATCTTTAAAGCCTCACCTGGAAGAGACGGACCAATCAGAACAGTGATGACAAAGGGAGTGGCTGGCATTGGGAAAACAGTCTTAACACAGAAGTTCACTCTGGACTGGGCTGAAGACAAAGCCAACCAGGACATACAGTTCACATTTCCATTCACCTTCAGAGAGCTGAATGTGCTGAAAGAACAAAAGTTCAGCTTGGTGGAACTTGTTCATCACTGCTTTACTGAAACCAAAGAAGCAGGAATCTGCAGGTTTGATCAGTTCCAGGTCGTGTTCATCTTTGACGGTCTGGATGAGTGTAGACTTCCTCTGGACTTCCACAACACTGAGATCCTGACTGATGTTACAGAGTCCACCTCAGTGGACGGGCTGCTGACAAACCTCATCCAGGTGGTCTATGACTCTCTGGAAGGTTTGAGGTCGTTGGTTCAATTCTGACACAGATTTAAGATTAAAAACCAATGTCCAGAGGAAAGACTGAACCTCTCCAAGAGAAGAACTTGTTGTTTCAGTCACAGTCTCTCAAATTGTTGAAGATTTGTCCAAAGGTGACTCAGTAAAGTTTGAAGTCCAACATTAAAAGTGAAAAATCTCTCACAACCTCAAAGTGACATGAGACATTTAGAGGTTGTGTTTGATCCTGTACACGACAGAAAGTCCAACACTCAGAGAAAAGACTCGCAAACTTTTAGAAATAATGTCTCCAGTGTCTCTGACCTAATGTCTCACAGTGTTAGAGGACTCTTCAGGTGTTTTACAGTCATGGGTTTGATTACCTTGAAGAGTTTGAGCCTGGATTCTATGAATTTGTTTGACCAACAGTCCAAAATCCAATGATTTTCATTAAGAATAAATAAATGATAAATTAAAAACTGTTTGATTATCAAAATTGTTGCTTATTAGTTTTTTGTCCATCATCTAAGTGATAAATTGACAATTCAGAATCAGAAATACTTCTACTATCCCCTGTGGGAAATTTTTACATTGTAGTGCTCCATTCCACACATACAAATATAAAGTATCAATAAAAATGTAAATATAACTCCCATATTCAAATACAAAAAAATATATACATTCAGTAATAAACATTATATACATAGTTAGTATTTAATATTTACATGCTATTTACTTGCAGCTTTAGTTCTTACAATTACTTTATTTAACAATTCATCCATCCATCCTTGTTCTCCCCTTCTGGTGCTGCAGAAACAGGTGTTGTTCCTCACTCTTGCCGGCAGGTGTCGCCATTTTGCAGCTTCCTTCACGGCAGGCTCTACGGTGTCTGCAGTGGGACATGTCATGATTTACTATGGCAAATGATCATTTCGTCGCCTCTAATCACAGTGAATGATTATTAATTAGCCAGCTGAGGCTTGTAGACATTGGAATGGCTTGAGGATTAAATACCAAGTAGTTAAACTACCACAGCCGGGCGGATCATCGCCGGGCTGGGATGTGAAGTAACGGCGGAGGCAGCATCGCCACTTGTGACTTTTTTTCTGGGAACGATTCAGTCCATCCGGTGAGTGAACCTATAACCGGTCACTGGATTAATAACTAGTAAATGAACCCGCCAGGAGCAGGTAAGTTACATTAAAGCCTCCGCGGCCGTTGGAACTTAACCAGCTAACTTAGCTAGTTTAGCTAACGCTAACTCGACTGTAATTTGATAGAAGCGGGCTAGTAGCGAGCTAGCAGGAGAAGCTAACAGCTACATAAACTGTTTTGACATTTAACGTTCACCTTAATAAGCGCAGTTAAGTGACTGTGCTGCACTTAAAGTAGCAGCACTACCTCTAATTCTGAGCTACACGTTAGTGAGACATGTTTCTGTGCAATATATTTCCTCAGTATAACCGTAAAGTCTCAGTTTAAATGAGCTAAACTTCGCCCTAATTGTCCCTTTTTCTTGTTGAATTTCGTTACAGCAAAGCTACACAGAACAATGAAGTGCCATGTCCAGTGCAGCCGCCCACCGCAGGATATCACGGTGCTCGTTTCACCACCCTTAGCTGCCTCTTAAAGATTATCACCAGTGTATAAACGGGCCTGTCTACTGTCAGGGCTCTGGTGGACCAGACGTGAGGAGAGAGGCCAGCTGGAAGTCTGCTCTGACTCCAGCAGCAGCCATGGAGGAGGAGGTGAGCATGGAGTATTTACTGGAGCAGGTGATGCACAACGACGTGGGGAAGAGGCTCCAGGTGGGCCAGGAGGTCACAGAGCTCATCCTGGACGGGGAGAAGTCCCCCGAGCTGGAGCAGGACCAGACCACGCTGGACAGGATGGTGGAGGCGGTGGCCAGCTCCTGGGTCAACTCCAGCAACTTCAAGGTGAGGACAGGCTGTTGGTTTAAAGGTGGAGACGCTTGTTGCTGGAGGAGAGGTGGGAAGAATAACACACTCCAAGTCTGTCACCATCATTTTAAAAATAACTGTAGAGATGCTCTGAACAAGACACTTGACTCTCAGCTGTTGTTACAGCTGCTTGTACATGAGGATTTTGGTTGTACTAAACAGCTGTGAGCAAGAACTAGTCAAGAAATTATTGTTTGTAACTGTGACAGTGGGTTTGCAGAGCAGATTCATCTATAATGAAGATTGTTGTTAATTGCAGCTCAGAGTTACACATTTACAGAGAGATAACACCAGGACTTCAAAGCCGTACACTTTCTGAAGTTACTGTGGTTAAAAACATTCTTTACCTTTTCATCTGAGTAAATGTAAGGCTTGTGTTGGAATATAATCCAGTTCATCAGTTAATGTCATTTTTCTAGGTTAGGAAACAAATGGCTCTTGGTCGGGCAGGACTTGCATTTTTCCAGATTCATAGAGAGGAACTGATATGTAACTACAGTTTCTTAACAGGTTTCTTTTAATAGGATGTTGTGATTTGGTATTAATTATCACTTCAGCTCAGAAGAACATGCAGCACTTCATAGGTTCAATAGAATAAATTATCTGTGTCACATTTGAACTTCTCTGTTAAGGAAATACTTATGAAAATAGATACGTTTCGATAATCCAACATTAAACAACTATATTATTTACTGGTTCTGAAACAGATTTATGGGTCATCTACTTTTAAATACTGGCTCATTAGGATCAGTGTTGGACTCACTTAGTCACATACAAATTTCATCTCAGCAGTGTTTTGTAGAATGGTGAGATCAGTCTGCTGGACACTGGCTATGACGAGATACACTTCCCTTATATCTGCTGTGTGTGCGTGTGCGTGTGCGTGTGTGTGTGTGGTGGGAGGGCTGTCAAACCACCAGTCAGGATGATAGGATTCACTGCAGGAGGTACTTAAGTGTTAAACCACTTGATACAGGTCTCGGGGACAGACTGTCCTCAGGGAGCGCCTCACTCTCAGAGGACATTTTTTCCACAGTACGTTCACTGTTTATCGCAGGCTCCCGTCGCTGTTTGTTTCCATGGCGCACGATCTGTATGCTACCCATGTTCAGTTACATGTAATTTATGCAGATATGACGCAGTGGCTGCTGATTAATCGATACACGCAGATCACAGAGGTGCGTTCCTGCACAGTGACGTAGAGCTGCTGCCGTTCAGCTGTTTGGTTCATCACACAGATTGTAAATGTTAATGCAGTGAACATACAGTAGGAGTAGTGCTGCCTTGCTCAGTGGCATCCATTGAAATGACTATAATCTTTATTGACTAGAGATTTACAACATTAATTAACAACAGTGGAGTTCGTTTGTCTCTCTTACTCATAACTTACTCATCAGTCACTAGTCTTTCCTTTTCCTCATAACAGCTTTTAACCAGATTTACACTTCCTTCCTTTTACACTGTCGACAGAGGAATAACAGAAATAAAGATGAGATGCCTGTGAGGAACTTTGTCCTGCAGTTTAGTGTGACTCAGGAAACTCATAGAGAGCGGATGTTTTAGTATGTTGGTTTTTGAGATGTATATTGTAGATGTTTTTATTATTATTAGAATTAGTTGCAGCTCATTACATATATTGAAATGAACATAGATAGTGGTGAATCTCATGTTATCTGTGTTTGATATTTAACTTTTGAAAATATAGTCTCACTTTAAGCTCTGGAGCTTTTGAACATATCACATGATCTTCCTCAGCAGTCTCCATGGTTAAAAATGAACCAACATGGATAAAAAAAAACCCTCATAAAACATGGAAACTTGAATCACAGTTTCATCACCACTGGACAAACATCTGCTGAGGAAGATGGTGTGATGTGATTGAAAGCTCATGATGAGACACTAAATAGGCCTCGTGGTGAGATGAGCTGTCAATCTAAATATGTAGCTGGTGATAATGATCTTCTGTCAGCCATGTTTGAAGAACGGCTTCAGTAAAATGACAGATTTGTAAATCTTTGGTCTGTGACACAAAAAGTGAAGCAGAAGAGAGTGAGTGAAGCTGAACTACATCCGAACTACACACTGACATCACACACATCCTGTGCTGCCCTGGAAACGCAGCGTCCCCGGCTCTCGTTGATGTCTGCGGCGCCGTAATGGGGACGAGGCTCCCAGCGTCGGCGGCTCTGAGCTTAATTTACCAGCACCATTAGCCCAGTTTCCTTCCCTGTGTGACCGAGCCAGTTATTACTCTGTGTGTGTGTGTGTGTGTGTGTGTGTGTGTGTGTGTGTGTGAGCTTCTTCATGTGCGGTTAGTTTAATGGCTCTTGTTAATTGATTGGTGCAGACAAGCTGGACCTGTCACGTAAATTAAAGACTGTCCAGCCAGTGACACACACACACACACACACACACACACATAGTAAAAGTCAGGCATGTGAGACTGAGTGACTGTGTAAACCACGTTCATTCACCTTTAAGAGGAAATAAAACTGACACGTTTTATTTCCATTTATTTTGATTATCAATGAATCCACAGATCAATTTATTGATTCATGACTGAACGATATGAAAGAGACTCATTTTACCTTTTATCAAAACAACTGCAGCTCCTGGGATTCGGATGTGACACTTGGCCACATTGTGATTTTGATTATATTTTGATTAATTGTTCAGCTCTAAAATATTTATAATGTAAAACAGAGAAAAGCAGCAAATCCTCACTTTTTAAAAGCTGGAACCAGAGAATGTTTCTGTCAATTAACTGATTAACGGACCTGTTTAATACTACGATGATTTACACCAAGGTACAGGACAAAGTGAAGGATGATGGGACTGTGTTTAGGTCTGTATTATAGCAGCTAATCATGGTGTGACTGAAGGTCATGTCATGACTGGGTTTAGATTTCAGGTGATGATTCATAATTACTTCTGAACACAATCATTAATTAAATAATTGAAGTACTTTGATCATTTCTTAAATAATTTAGTTGTTTTTTCTTGTTCCAGCTTCTCAGATGTGAGAATTTGATGTTTCTCATTGTCACAGATGAAAATAAACTGAATAGTTTTAGTTTTTTGTTTTAGGACGGTCGATCAAATGAAACAAGATTTTAAATAGATCCCGTTGAGCTGTGGGAAATATTAATATTAATAGTATTTTCCACAGTTTTATGACATTTTATAGACAAAACAATTCATCATTTAATCAGCAGATTAATTTATAATGAAAAAGAGTTAATTAGTTGCAGCCTTGCATGGCAGTAGATAATATTTAGACTTTGCAGCGTGGTGTTGTTTACTTAGTTTTCTCTCTAGCTGCAGATTGTTTACAAGAATAAGACTAAAGTTTTTTTGTTTTTTTATTAACCCAATGGAAATGTAACAGCATAAAATAGAGAATAAAGAATAAGATTATAAAGATAAAAGTAAAAATATGTCCTCATACTAAGATATGACTTTATGTATGTATATATATATATATATATATATATATATATAATGTTATATAATGTTAATGTTATTTACCATTAGAAACTGTCTACTGTCAACATGCATATAATGAAGTAATTAATAAATAATGTGGTGATTTAAACACATTCAGAATGAGCCTATTTAAATGATAATGCATCAGCTGCTCTTAATAACTATTGATTTTTCAATAATGTGTTACATTTATATGACTCCTCTGTAATCAGCAGGAGGTGGTGTAAGTGTAGTACCACTCCTGCTCCAGCAGATGGCACCAGAGATTAGAAGTATCTTCGTTCTTTTTTCTGTCACATGTTTAATGTCGCTCGTAGATAAAGCGAGGTTCCAAAAATTGCACCAGAGCCCGAACACGGAGGTTCAGGTGGTGCGTGTTGTGTTGATATGGTGTCAGCAGGGAGACTCTCACTAGTCGTTCATTGAGTTTCCCATACCACCCCATGACAAGGAAAGTTGAAGCACATGTCATTGAAACCCTGTTGTGAAGTGTAAACACCGTCTTCACTCACGGTTGTGTTTCACTTCCTGGTTTTCACTCACACAACGACACATTACATGATCGTAGTTTGGATTTGTGACAGAAAACCGGTTTATTTTCATGTTTTTGTGCCTTTTCAAGTGAAAACTCTTAGTTTGGTTCAATTACCCATAATCCCTTGCAGCCCAGATTCAAATCCAGTGCTGTTTTTTTTGCTGATCTCATGCTGTGGTGGTTCTGGATGTTTTCTGTCTTTGTTGTCAAGTGATTGTGACTCACTGAGTGGCTGTGTTTGCTTCATGGTTGTTGTTTTGTTTGTTGTTGTTGTTGTTGTTGTGTCTCAGGTGGTTTTGCTGGGGATGGATATTCTGTCGGCTCTGGTCAGCAGACTGCAGGAGAGGTTCAGGACGCAGGTTGGAACAGGTGAGCTGCTGTTATTCAGTTTATGCACCAACCAAGGAACATTGATTAAATGTACAGTGTGTGCTGTAGATATACATATATGATTGGCTTTGTGCATTCAACAGTATTGTAATCAAAATGATTTTAGAATTATTGCAGCATTTAAGGTTATATTAGTTTTCATATATATATACATACAGTATATAGTATATATTTAAAGAAAGTAAATAAAATAGTATTAAATAATATAGCATTAAAAATGATTACAGCATTTAAAGGTAATTTAAAAAAAAAATTAGTTTTTCACCATATGAAATGCAGGTATGTTTAAATATATTATTGTATATATATTTCTATATTATTTCTATATTATTTTACTTCTGTTGGTGAATTCTGCACACAATAAAAAAGTATATTTTGCTGTTATAAATAGTGACATTTAATTATTTTGTATTTCTTAAAGCCTTTTATTCATTTTATTACTAAATGCTAATGATAATAATAATATATGAATATGTGTTATATATATCTTTAGTCTCTACTGTGTGTGTGCTCTTCATTTTGTTTCTTTATGCACTTTTATTAAGATGTTTTTTTAATCTTGATGTTTTGTTCTATTGTTGAAATGGTTGAACTTCAGCTTCAGTTTCAATGCTCTTATTGATTATTGATTATGTTGTGACCTATAGTTTCATATGATGATAATACAGTCAGATAAAGTTGTCACCAGTAAATGAACTGTCCCTTTAAAATCACTGAATACATTCGGTGCATTGTGGGAAATGTTGTATATTAATGTTTAAAGTTCTGTTTCTTTGTAAAAGCAGATTTTTATATGATTTTAATTTTGATATGACGAAGTTCTTTCATTTTGAAGGTGTTTGTTTTGTTCATTGAGACGTCCCTGACGCACTTGTGTGTGTATTATACTGTTATAATGATATGAAATCTTGCCCACAACTGATTTTGGCTTCTAAAATATTTGATAGTGTCTGTTTTTCACATGTAAAGACCTTTCACGTCCTTCGTACATCTTGTTCTTAGTTTCTGCTGCAGTTTCACACTTTGCTGTTGAGGATCAGTAGGATTCTTCTGACTGTATCGAGTCCGTGTGCACAGCGATGTAAAACCAGACTTTACGTTCATACATCAGCTGTTTAAGCCGACAGTGCTGATGTGGCTCTGGTTGGAATAAGAAAAGAACAGATCAAAGGAATAAATACGTGAATATAAAGCAGGAAGACGTTCACAGTGAGCCGAGCAGACGCCTGTAAACTCTGTTTTCTGTGTCCGCTCAGTTCTGCCCAGTCTCATAGACCGACTGGGAGACGCCAAGGACCAAGTTCGAGACCAGGACCAAGCACTTCTGCTGAAGATCATGGACCAGGCAGCGAACCCACAGGTGCACACGCAGTTATTCAAACCTGCTGCAGGTGTTTAACCCTCTGCAGTCAGGGTTGATCTTTCATCCTGTTCTTACTCCACATGCAGGGTCTCCTTTTTCTGGACCCTCCTTTTGTGTTATAATCATCAGAATAATATAATAATTAATGTTTTCTTCACTGATGTTAGACCTGCCAGATAATGACTGAGTGTAAACATCTGCTCTGTCTGTGTGTTCTCAGTATGTGTGGGAGCGAATGATGGGAGGCTTCAAACATAAGAACAACAGGACCAGAGAGGGACTCTGCCTCTGTCTCATCTCCACCTTAAATGTGTAAGTGCAGATCAGATTAACAGATGAACTTGTTTTACAGGTTAGGGTTTACTTTTAATATCTAACAGGTAAACATCTATTCTGTGGTCAGTGGAAGGATTAGAGGATGAACTGTCGTAGATGAGCAGTGAACAGGTCTGTGGATTCTGGGGAGAGAAGACAACAGGCTCAGGTGTAAAGGTGTGACCGTGTAAATCAGCAAAGATCAGATCATTTCTATTATTGATTAATCTTGTTTTTGTTATTTTTTCTTTACTACTGGTTTCAGCTTTTGGTGCAAACAAATATCAGAAAACAGAAAACTGGTTCCATTTTGATATTTTAGGTCCTAGATGTTTCGTTTTGTACAAACAAACCTGAAGATGTTTTTTAAACGATCAATTGACCATCAAAGTTGTTGATCGATAGTTTTATTTATGTATATTTATATAATTTGACTCATTGTTTCAGATATTTAATCTTTATAACCCACGTACGTAGGTTGTATGTCGTGGTGTGTAAGGTTCATGGTCACCATGTAACCCACGTGTTTTTGTTTTTTCAGCTTCGGATCTCAGAGTCTGACTCTCAGTAAAATAGTTCCTCACATCTGTCACCTCCTCGGAGATCCCACAAGTCAGGTGAGACCACACGAGCACCTGGACTCTGTTCCAGCTCTTCCTGAAGGTGTTCAGGTTCAGGTTCAGGACTCTGGCTGGTCATGGTTTCCACACCAAGCTGAGACACAGACTGTGTGTGTCTCTTTCCTGTTTCAACATGACAAACTGTTGATGTGTTCGGGTGCAGCTACAGGATTACTGGACTTTGAACGCCCCCTGCTGGTCAAACAGAAACGTTACAGCTCAGCAGGGCTGATCAGACCATGATCCAGCATCTATGGATCCAGGAGGAGTTCTGTTTCCTCCTGGACTCATATGTTGGGAGAGAAAACCTTTAGCTGTTGTAAGACATCTGATACTTTGCAGGGATCAAACCTGTGACCTCGCAGTCGTGGAGTCTCCTCTATAACCACCAGACCCCTCGACTTCCTGCTCTGCTCTGTGTTTGAGTTTGTTGTCTCCTGATAGGCTGCAGAGGTCTATCATCACCGGAACCGCACTTCCTCCTCGGGACAGGAAGCTGTGCCCATGAACTTCCCTTCCTGAAGCCAAACACACTCGCACACGTTCACTGAAGCTCGTGTCTTGACGCACAACATGATCCATCATCACCAACATACCCACGCCAATATGATTTTCTATCTTCATGTAAAGTTTCCTAGAACTTACTCCTCAAACATTTGGAGGAGTTAAATAAAATAAAATTTTTATTAATTCAAACAGATTAAAACAAATAAGAGAAGTGACGGAGATGTGACGGGAGTCATATGGAGGAGCAGGACATCACAGGAAATAAAGCATTTCCTCAATTTCATCTTTTAATAGGCGTTAAAAATAAGAACTGTAAAAAGAATTTATAAATGAATGATTGATCAATAAATACTTCAGATTTAAAAAATGGAGTTACAGAAAACAAAAATAAAACTAATTGAATAAACCATTTAATAATTAATGAATAAATAATAGAAATTGAATGAGAAGATAAAAGACAGAAGAAAAACACCTTATAAATACAAGTGTAATGAATAAACCAGGAGAGACGGTGACGTGAACATATAAGAATAAGAATAAAAATACTTCCCACACAGTGAATTCTACATTTGAAATGATTCTTTAGAAACTTTTCTGTTCATATCGCAGTAAAACAGCATCATATCAAAGTGAATAATTAATGTTGTGATTAAAACTAAGACGTTACGAAGGATCAGTTCTCAGCTACAGAGTCTCTGCTTCCTGTTTGTGTTCTCATGCCGTCGTCCTCCTGCAGGTGCGTGACGGAGCCATGACCTGCCTCGTAGAGATCTACCGCCATGTTGGAGAGCGAGTGCGGATGGACCTGGGGAAGAAGGGTCTGCCTCAGTCACGGTGCGTTCAAACACTCACTGTTCTACCTGACTCTGTTAATCATTTCCTGCTGGTGCAGCTAAGGATGATTTTTTTGATTTGTATTATTTATCTGTTAATCTACAGATTATTTTGTAAAGTGATGAAATCTGTGTTTGGTCCATGAATCATCAAACAGAAAAGAGAAGCAGCAGATTCTCAGTTAACGAGCTGGAGTCTCGACTCAGACGATCAATCGATTATCAAGATGAGATAAATAAAAATGAACTGATAGCTGCAGCTTTATTCTGGAGATCACTCATTGATGAACTGACCAGTCAGGTGTTAGTCAAAGAAGCACCAGCCAACAGGAAGCTGTTCATGTTTGAAACAGACTTTTGACTGTTCAGAATCTAAACTTGTTGTTCTCTCCTGGAGTGAACGTGCGTCGCCGGCGGCTGCTGTTCCACTGACTTTGTGATTATTAGCGTTTGTTCTAATAATAAAACGCAGCAGGAGCAGCGCCGCTTGTTGCCTGTGTATTTCTGGATGCAGAGACTGAGACGCAGCTCCGGCCTATTTAACTTCTCTCCGGAGAGTCTGAAACCAGCTCGTTTTCTGAGTGTGCGGCCCTGAAGGCGGCGAGGCCGGTTATTTGTGGTGCTAACTCTGCGTTTCCTCTCCGTGTCCAGGCTCAACGTCATCTTCAGTAAATTTGACGAAGTTCAGAGGTCAGGGAACATGGTCCCGTCACCTGTGTCAGGTAAGACCACGCCTCCTGCTCCACCTGCTGGCTGTGTGTACGGCGTCGAGACAGTTTTTATGCCTGTCACGGCTCTAGTTGTCATGGCGACAGCTTTTTGTTTATGTGTGTTGTTGTTGTGTTGTTGTTGTGAGCGGCCTGCAGACAAACATGTGACACTGAACGCTTAAAGCTGCATCACGTTCGTTTACGTGTTCTCCTGCTAGACTCCAAACTCAGAGGATTATGTGAGTTATCGTCAACAAATATTTACCAGAGCAAATACAAGCCTGTTTGATCATTATGTTTATGGCTGACAGCAGAGAGAGGTCAGAGGTCAGGGGTCATCAGTAAGTTATTGACTGTGTGGACATCGTGTATGATGATTGAAACGTTTGACGTTCCATCTCAATTATCCCTAATGTTTCTGGCAGAGTATGTAATCGTATTTATTCTGTGCTGTCGGCTGCGGTTCGGGATCGAGGCTGTAGATCTAATAATCAAAGAATGTGAAGCACCAACCGATGAAAGGACTGCGAGACGATCTTGTTTCAGCCGCTCGGGGTGTGTTTGACGTCTTTCTGTCACAATGCAACATGAGCTGGTCTCTTTGTGCTCCGGCAGGCGAGGAGCTTTCAGTCGCTTCGCTGCAGGAAAAGTGAGCCAGCAGAACTGGGACAGGAAGGTTTAAAGGGTTTGAATGGAGGGAGAGGCAGCTGCTTGTATCAGACCCAGTGGAGGGATTTCCAGCTGCTGCTGCTGTGTTGGATATTAAAGTAAAGACAGAAAACAATAATATAAACTGCTCTTTTTTTACAACATATGTTTCAGTAATTGAATGTTCTTTAAACCAAGAGCTTGATTTCACATCCACAGTTATTAGCAGTTGACTGTGTGACTATAATTAATGACATTAAACCGGTCTGTTCGTCATCACTGCGGTCACCAGGCTCAGCTTTCATCTCACAGAGGCGCTCAGTCACACAAAGGAGTCTGTCACTGAGATAATCAGACATGAAGGCCGATGTTAGAAATGTTTATTTTTGTAAAAGATCACAATCACAATCTGGTTCATCGCCAAGGAATTTGCTTTTGCTGCATGACGAAAAACAACAAGTCAGAAGAGAGGAAATATAAACAAAGATAATACAAGCAAGTACTGCAGGTCAGAGAGCTTCAGTAGAAATAGAACAATACAATATGTACAATACTAATATGTACACTGTGCAAAGTGAGTTGCACCATCACAAATCCTGTTAACTAAAGGTGTTTGCTCTATCTTACATTCACCTCCACAGATTAAAAGCTTTTATTGTGAAGCAGCAGCAGGAAGTGTTTAGCTTGTGTTTATGCACGTGGCATCAAAGAACAGACAGAGAAGAAGAGTTCAGCTGCTGTCAGCAGTGAGTTCAGAGAGGCGTGGACGTCAGCACAACTGACAGAGCTGTGGATGTTACCTGGGCGGGCGAGAGAGAGACATCACACTGACCTGGAAAACAGGGAGAGAGAGAGAGAGCATCAGAAACTGACAGTGGAGACATTGAAATACAGGAAGAGAGAGACTGAGATGTGCTGAAGTGACAATGAAGGAAAAGCAAAGAAGAGCTCAGATAACCAGGGGAGGAGACTGAGACTCTTTACTCCCGCAGCCTGAGGCTTTTATTTTGTAGGAGTGGTGTCAGCTGTTGTCCCTACAGTCACAAGACCAGGTTGAGGGGAGGGGAGGAGGCAGCAGTGCATCAGCTGTGGGTCGGAGTCAGGACTTAATGTTTCTCCTCCAGTAGGTCGACGTCTGTGCAGCGTGTTCCTGCAGGTGAAGCGGTCACACACAGGAAGTGGCTCGTTCCTCAGGTAAAGCCGAAGGCTCGCTGTAAATGTGCGTCTGTCTCATTAACGCAGGAGCTCGTTACCATGGGCTCTGTCAGGATCTCTGTGCTCCTGAGCCTCGGATCATAATTGGAGCTGGATGCCACAAGTAGCTGAAGCTCAGTGATGCATGTGATCTGCTGCTGTGACACATGACGAGCTGCTTCGCTGATTCAGGTTGAAGTGGTTGTTAGAATTAGAGGAACAACGTTTGGAAACGTCATTATTTCCAGCTGTTTTTTGTTGTTGGTGTCATTCACCCAACCTGAGGCCCGGGGCCCGCTGGAGGGCCGCGAAGGCATGTCTAGTGGTCCGACAAATCATTTGCAAAACAGAACAACTTTGGTGAAAAGATGGAATTTATAAGAATATAAATAATAATAATGAGACGACTGAAAACAGACTTACGTAACGCAGCTTTTAATTCTGGATTTCAGTGCTTTTCTCTTTGGTTTCTACTTTTGGTTTTATTATTATTTTTGGTCTGTTTTATGGATTTTGTTTCTCTCTGTGAGACGTGCCTTGCTAATTGACACTTTGCCTCTTCTCCACGTCTTTTATTGCTTTTTGTTCTTATGTTTGTACAACACTTTGCAACTCTGCTTTCAAAAGTGATATAACTATTAATTTTTATTATTATTATTATTATTATGTGTGCCATAAGTTGGAAATATATATATTCATTATATATTTTATATTATGAGGCTTCCGAGGGCAGTTTAGACCCCCACACCCCCCCACCCCCGCCCCGCCTCAGGAGCTTCCTGCAGGGAGGTGTTGAGAGAGGAGGCCAGGTACTTGGGTTGCACAGTTGGAAACCTCCTGAATAATGAAGAGTGTGCAGAGACAGAAGGAGAGGGAGCAGTGCAGCAGAGTCAGCTGATGGTGAAAGTGTGGTTGGATTTACCAGCAGTAAACGTGACGCTGTTTAAGTCCTGCTCGCCGTCCATGCAAAAATCCTAATCACGATTATCTTAATCAATATTATTTGACATGATCACTGCTTGACTTTGGAAATAACCAGCTTTTATTGAACTTTAAAAAAACATCTTTTTAACCGTTTAAATACAATTCAGCAATAAGTTTAACTCTGTTGTAACATTGGTGTACTTCCAGAAAACCTACTGAAAACTCCTAAACATATAAACATATAAAAATAATAAAGATAAGTTAGAACTCCAAAACGTATATTCAACATTTTGGTAAAATATATTCAACATAAAAAACAGAAAATAAAAAAACAGATTTCAAAATAAAAAGCGTTGTCTTTGTAGTTTTTCTGGTTACAGAGATATAAGTTAAAGATATCTGAGCGTGGTCTCTCCTGGCTGTAAGTAGAGTCTCTGAAGATGTGGCGCTGCTACGTACGTCGCTAACGTAACCAGGAAATTTGTTGTGAAACAGAATGCGGCACAATAATTGTTTTATTTTGATTGTCTTGTTTTCATAATCGTTAGAAGCTGAAATCCTAATAGAAAGTAAAATAAAATAAATCGCCCAGTTCTACGTGTCGCACATCTAGGTGTTAAAGAACCTTGTTTTCCAGGTTCTGCCCCGACGCTCCTCTGCTCAGATACACAAACACAACATAACAGGAAAACTCCTCTCCATACCGAACAGGAAACACTAACTCTCAACAGGAAGTGAGACTGACTGACCCCGAAAACCCAAGGAGTAAACAACAACAACAACACACAGAGAGATAAATATAGAACGTGATGAGCAGCCCTGTTTGTCTTCAGAGAGAAAGACAGTCGTTTGTGACGGGAGCAGGAGCTTCTGTCATTATTCAAGCTAAGATGTTGAATATTCAGATTCCAGCTTCTAAAAACACAGATCTGCTGCTTGTTTTACATCATTTAAACTGAATATCTGAGTTCTTTGCCACAATATTTTAATTTATTCGTTTTATACATTTTTAGGCGTAAAGCAAACGGAGGTCTAAAAACGCTCCTTCACTTTTACTGTAGTTCTGAAAACTAAACAAACGCGTGAGGACGAAGTAGTTACTGCAGCTTTACTTCTTCTCCTCTCTTTGTTTCAGTAAAGCTAGCGGGTGATTTTCAGAGTTTCATTAGTCAACTCTTTGTTTACCTGTAGAAGTACACCTGCTTTACCTGACCGATGCTTCATGATAACGTCTGCTGCTTGTGCTATTTGCTGAATCTGGTGAGAACGTTGAGAACAAAGCCTGATGGTTCTGTGGGAACGTCCCTCCCACTGTTGTTCCAGCTGGTCGAGATGAGGGGGCGTGTCCCGCTCCATTCATCCTTTCATGTGCACAGGTATAAGCTCACCTTTGAGCTGCATGATTACCTGATGTGAGTGATGTTCTTGGTGTTTACGAGCTGCTTTGTTCAAAAACAACCTAATGAGTGATGATGGTGAAGCAGAGCTTCAGGCAGAGGAGGAAACTCACTACCTGCCTGGAGTTCGCCGCTCTCCCACGATCCCTCGTTTCCTCCCAGGTCAGTGATGCAACACTTGGCGCTCCTGAACGCCTCACCTCTCCCCGCTCATTTGGTGAATTTGCACCGAGGAGATCACCTGTCAGACTCCATCAGGCTCCGAGCTGCCGGAGACTTTGAGGCGCTGCCAGGAGGAGAACTTGTGACCTGTCGTGCCGAGGAGGTGCACCATTAGTCACAGTCATCAGGAGTCACCTGTTTGATATGAGCAGGTGTCGTCTCTCTGTAACCAACTCGTCATGGTTCGTTCTACTCAGAAAACAAGTGTCATCAGTACGTCTTCTGTGGCTCTGGAGAAAGTGACTAATTAATCTGCTGATCATTTTCCCAGATGAATCGTTAACTGAGCTGTAAAGCTGCAGAGCCTGGAGCTGTGAAGAGAAACAGGTGACTGCCGTCTCCTGGATGTTGGCTGTGAAACTATTCTAGACAGTATGTGGTGGACTTTAAGAAGAGATGTGAATTCCTGTTCTCTGAGCTTGACCTTGAAGGGGTCGTTGACTTGGTGAAGAATGTACATGGTCTGAAAACGGAGATGGACGGTGGTTTAGCTGCTGCACGTCGAGCTGTGACCGTGTGTTTGCGTTCAGAGCTGCTGCTGGTCATGAAGCTGCGTTATAAAGTCTAATGAAGCATCGAACTGAGAGACACTGTCTCCTCCACCAATGAACAGATTTGAAACTTCCTCTGAAACTCACAGATTTAGATTTAGTGCTGGATTTAGTTTTATGAAGCTGTGTCCCAGCCAGGCCGATCAGAGCTCTACGGAAGCCCTGAAAGCCAAGTGAAATTTTTCATTCTGTCATTTCCCATCTGTGAAAACGAGGCCGGAGCTTCCCACTGTCGCCATCTTGGCGCTGTCTGACTCCGCCCCCACACTCCCAGCTAATCCAAAAATGCAAATGTTGTTAAAATAGACATATGCAAAGAAATACTCATATCCTTATATATCTATATTTCTTAATCCATATATCATAGTAAAACCTGTTTTTCTATTTTATCTTTATCTTTATGATCTACTTCCTATTCTCTGTTCTTACCCTGATTCCCCCTGGGGATCAATAAACTATTGTAATTCTGATTAATATTAAATTAATGACTAATTAGTGGATGGAAGTGAATAAAGCCACAGTTTCCTCCAGCGGGGAATCAGACCTCAGGGATGGATGTCTGGTCAGGTTCATCAGCTTTTCTAATTCTTTGATCTGGTGTTTATTGATTAATCATCAGTTATTTTGACCTTGCTGTGATAAGCTCCAGCTGCTGGAGGCTGGTGGATGAACTTGGGTGGAGGCTTGTTGACAGCTGACATTAACACTGACAGAGGAGCAGCTTCCTCTGGAGAGGTGTCCCTCCATCTCCTCCTCCCTCCTCCCTCCATCTCCTCCTCCCTCCCTCCTGAGTCATCATGGCACTCTAGCTGTCCCTCATCTCTGACTCCTCCCACCAGCTCCGCCTCCAGATTGAGCACCGATGTTTGTCCCCAGACCGACCCCACCCCTCTCCTCCCTTCTCCTCCCATTGGTCCACTCCTCTCCCCCCTCCTGCCTCCTCCTCTCCATCCCCTCCCTCCCGCTTCCTCCATCCTGCTCCTGCCAGTGAGTGAGCCGGAGGACGGAGACAGAGGAAGATCCTATTGAAGCACGTGCTCCCTGACAAGGGAGGGGGGAGGCGAGCTGTTGGACTCCCCTCCTGCCTCCCCTCTCCTCTCTCCTCAGTGGAGGAGAAGATGTGAGGAGCACAGAGGACCGGAGGACCACCTGACTGTCTGTCTGTCTGTCTGTGTGCCGGCATGCTGAGGAAACTGGTCTGCAGGCGGATCTGCTCCTGTAAGCTGCTGCTGCTCTTCCTCTGGAGGCAGGGAGGGACTGAAGGGAGCGGGGAGGTTGTAATCACTGATGAAACCAGACGAAGAGGAGAAGGGTGGGGTGGGGGAGAGAAGCCTGGAGTGACGACGGCTGTAAATCCAGGAGAAGTGTGTGTGCGGTGTCTGGAGTGTAAACACGGCGGGATGGGTTCCTGCTCTCAGCTGGATTGTTGTGTACAGGACGTGACGCAGCCTCCATGTCTGAGAGGGAGGTTCAGGTCAGGAGGCTGCAGATCCAGGACACTGTCTGTCAGCTGGGGGGGGGTCATGCTGCGACCATGTGAGGAGATCAGTGTGAAATCTGAGGCTGTGAAGGTTAAATGGAAACTGAATGCTTTGACTCTGGTGGATTCGCTGTGTTACTTTTTAAGTTTGTTGTTTGTACAAACACTTTTATTTTTATCGATATCTGTATTTTATTTTAGACATTTTGGTCGTAGCTCTTCGTTTTTCTTGCAGAGAGTCACATAATGTGAAGCTATAACCCTCAGCTGGTTAGCTTAGCACAAAGAGTGGAAACGGGTGGAAAGTGCTAGCCTGGCTCTGTCTGAACACGCTGTATCTCTCTGTATTGTCCAGACAGAAACACGTGCAGGAAGTGTCTTTAGTTCCTTCAGCGGCGGGCGGGTGTGGACGTGACGCTGCCACTAAATCTAAACAAGATCATTTTCATTTTGCTAAATAACATCGTTTTAAAAACAAAGGTACAAATGATGATTCAGATTTATCAGCTGAAGGTGACGTGACTTTTCTACAGAAGCGTGATGCGTTCACTGTTCAAACAGGATTTTTTTTTTTTTTTAGAAAACTTTTTAAGGAAACTTTTCTCCTAATCTTGAGATAATTATTTCGTTAATTAAAAAAAACAGTGAAGGAATTTTTACTTTTTATTTTTTTTTTAAGAGAAGTTTTCTCCCAAAAAAATCAGAATGAATTCTGAATTAACGAGATAATTATCTGGTTAAGTGAATGCATCACACTCTGTACAGGAAGTCTCAGATGCTGTCGTGTTGTGTTGGTGTTAACGTGTTAAACTTCAGGTGACAGTGGCACGCACGCAGTCACCTTGTGTTGATAATGAAAGGTGTTGCGCAGCTTTTATTTGGCACAGAGGAAAAACTGTGACCTGATGGTATATGACGTGTGTGTGTGTGTGTGTGTGTGTGTGTGTGTGTGTGTGTGTGTGAATAATGAAAGAGGATTGATCGCAGCAGGGCAGATTCCTGTGCTGAGGGCGACTCACGTGGCGCTCTGTGGACCCCCACAGGAGCCGTGTCCAGGGGGCGGGGCCTCTTTGAGTCGGGTCTTATTGTTACTGAGCAGCTACAGTCCAGGTCGTGACCTTTAGGAACAGATCCACCAGTGAATATGTTAAACTGTTGACAGGCGAACTCCTGATCCAACACGACACATCATCATGCCTCTCTTCTTCTGCACTGATCTGAACGTCTTAATCACCTTAATATTTTATTATAAAGATTCACTGACTCATTGAAAAGACGATCAGCAGATTGATTGATTAAGAGAATGATCTGTGGAGCAGAAGATCTGAGGGCAGCAGGAAGTGTTGAGACTTTTAAAAGCAAACTCAAGGTCTACATTTTTAGTCTGACTTTTAATTGATTTTTAGTTAATTCATTATTTATCTTCAAATTTATTTATATATTTTAAGCTGTTTAACTGGTGTGTCCTTTTATTCTGAGAGTATTTTCTGGATTGTTTTCCTTTGATATCCTAAAGTCTTCTTTTAATCTCCTCTCTTTTAGCATTTTATTATTTTATCTTCTTCTTTATTTGATTTTTAATACCCTACATTTTAAAGCTCTTACTCACTTTAATACATCTCCTCTGTTTCAGTATTTTATTTATTATTTCATCTTCATCCTTCTGTCGTGATCTTTGTTTTCCAGTCGTCAGTGTTTCCTCACTTCCTGTTGTTATTGTCTTATGTTTATAGCTGCTGTTGTAGCTGCATAACAGATTTATTTACTGTCATGTCAGAATCTTTATTGAGCTCAATAGAAAGTGAAGAGTCGTCAAATCTTCAGTCAAATGGATGAAGAATAAAAACTGTGTTTGTCTTTTAAACCAGAGTTTCCTCAGTTTGACTCTCCCACTGTGAACACAGCTCTGACTGTCCACTTCATTGTCCCTCTGACCTTCACACTCCTCGCCATCCTTCGCTTGTTATGTTGATGTAGGAGTGTGAGTTATGTCCTGTGGGTCAGCTGAGTCCGCCCGCCGGTCCGACATTGCTCGGATGCTCAGAGGTGGCGTTTTTTTCTCTGTGTTGACTCCTCGTTCTGTCCGTCTCCTCCTCCAGACAAAAACTTTGAGGACGATGACTCGGTGGACGGCGGCCGCTCCTCGTCCTCGTCCAAAGGAGCCTCGCTGTCCGGGAAGACGATGGTGAGCATGGGGTCGTTCCGACGCCCCGCCTCCGCCACCAGCGCCAAGTCTGCAGGTCAGAACCAGAACCACCATCCGACGTGTCGCTAACTGATCTCCACATACAATATCAAGACAATATTTATATATACATTATTTATATCAGAGACAAAACAAGCTTCACATTATGTCTCAAAACAGACGGAAAACACAATAAAATATAACAGAATAAAAAGTGACAAAACGAAGAATAAAGAATAAGAATTTCTTTAATAGATTTGTCTTTTTGCCACTGACACATATAAAGAGGGATTTCACCCTCTGGAGTCCAGTCTGATGTTTTATTATTTATTTATTATTTATTTCTGTGTTTTTTTTAATCTGTCCCTAGCTCGTTTTATTTTGGAGCCTTTTTCACTGAAACTATGAATCATGGAAAATATTAATAATGATAATAAACACTTTGAAGTGATTTCCTCAGCTTGTCTCTACGTGACATGTAAAGTTATGTAACTGTAAGTGAGGCAGTGGCCACAGACGGACTGACGGGGTCAGTGTTGAATCATGTCAGTGAAATGTTGACGACGTGTCACGTTGTGGATCTGGATCTAAATCCTCGAGCTGGTCTGGTCTGTAGGGAGGGACAAGTCCGGTGCTGGAGCCGTGGACGAGGAGGACTTCATCCAGGCCTTTGAGGATGTTCCCACAGTGCAAGTATGATTTTTAACGTATATAATATGATGCTGAGTCACCTCAGGTCCAGAGTTTGAATCCTTCACTTCCCTTTCTTCCTCCAGATCTACTCGAACAGGGAGGTGGAGGAGGCCATGACGAAGATCAGAGACGTGCTGTCAGACGACAAGAAGGACTGGGAGCTCAGAGTGGCGGCGGTACGTCGTCTTGGCGTTCTCTGGTCGCGGTCTGAAGTATCAGTCAGATGAAAATGTCTCTGTTGACCGTCTCCTCTCTCGTCTTTCTCCTCCAGCTGAAGAAGGTGCGTTCGCTGCTCCTCGCCGGCGCAGCCGAGTTTGACGGCTTCCTGCAGCAGCTGAGGCTCATGGAGGCGGCGTTCAAACTCTCCGCCAAGGACCTCCGCTCCCAGGTGGTGCGAGAGGCCTGCATCACTCTGGGGTGAGACGCACTTCAGACCGGCTACAACCCAGCAACACAAGAGAAGAAGAGTTTCTTTTATAGTTTATTAGTTATTACTTTTCCTGAAGTCGTTTTTATGCTTCATAGTTCTGTTCGTGTTTTAATCCTCTGAGAAATTCATGTGTTGGTTTTATTATGAGTTAGTATTGATTCAGCAACTGGGTTTAGAATGAATAATATCTCTAATAAAATGTGTTGATTATCATTTTAATTGAACAGAGGACATTAGATACAAGCAGGAACAGGACAGTGAAACACTGGAAGCTGAGAAAGGCCGTGCTCACAAACATTTCTTTATCCCGTTATCTCAAGAAAACAACTCGTTATAACGAGATAACGAGATATCATCAGGAGAAAACGACTCTGTCATCCTGAGATAACGAGATAATTAACCCGTGATCTGGAGATAACAAACTCGTTCTCTCATTATAATAACTTTATTAATCAGAGATCAGATGCAGATGGAAACTTCTAGTGCTGTAAACTGAAAACGTCAGGACGACGCATCAGAGAAGATTATTGTTCTGTACACGTCATGTCGGGTCGTCATGTAGCTGAACACACCTGAGTGTCTGCTCTGCTCTCCTGTCTTCAGACACCTGTCGCTGGTGCTCGGCGTTCGCTTCGACCACGCAGCAGAGGCCGTCATGCCGACCCTCCTCAACCTGGTCCCCAACAGTGCCAAAGTCATAGCCACGTCCGGCGTGGCCGCCATCCGCCTCATCCTGCGAGTAGGTGTCAGCTTTTAAATGCTCCCCCTTTCCTCACTGTGCTGACTGTGATGATGATGATGATGATATGATGGTTATTGGCAGTGGCGGTGAAACTGGCCGCAGCTGTCCTCCACATTCCTGCAGCCACGTGGCCTCAGTTATGGGAAACGAAACCAGCTCGGTGTCCTGGTTTCCCTCCATGTTCACGAGGCGGCGGGATAACGACGTTAGCTCCACATCATCACAGCAGTGATTTCATACACGATGTGCTTTGATCCTGAAAATCACATTTCACGTCGGAGAGAAAAGGCTCCGTTGTTTTCTGACTGAATTTAATTTAAACCACAGAAGAAGAAACAGCGTCAGTGTCACCTCAGGCTCAAACTCACCAGCTTCTCCTGTTTTACAGCACACACACTTCCCACGGCTCATCCCCATCATCACCAGCAACTGTACCTCCAAGTCTGTGGCCGTGAGGAGGTGAGAGTTTGTTTTTATTATTTACAGGTGACGGTGACAACATGTCTCTTTCTCCTGACCCTGATTTCTCTGTCACACTCTGAGCAACTTCTTCAGATTTCATACAAATACTCACTTGGACTGAACAGATTAGATTTTGGTCAAAGGTCAAAGGTCACATTGACCTTACAAAACATGTTTTTGGCCATACTTCAGAAATTCACATGCTAATTAACTGGTTGATGGAGTCAGGCGTGATTATAGTTTTGATTTGAATTTATTTACTTTAATTTTATTTTAGTGAGGTATTTTATTTTTATGTTATTTATTTATTTTTGTCACATTTAAATCAGTTTTATTATTTTTGTTTTATTTGTTCATTTATTTATTCACATTTTCATTAGTGCACTTGTTATTTTATTTATATGTTTTTATTTTATAAGTTATTTTACTTTTATGGTATTTATTTCTTTATTTTGTCATTTTCATTTATTTTTATTTTTTTTGTTTGTTTTAATTTTTATTTAAATTTGTGTATTTAATATTGTTTAATATTTGTTTCCATTATATAGTTTTATCTCATTTGTTTTGTTTCTTGTTTGTTTTGTTCATTTATTTATTCACATTTTAATTTATTTGTGCACTTTTTATTTTATTTACATGTTTTTATTTTATTATGTATTTTATTTTTATGGTATTTATTTATTGTTTAAATGTTCTTATTTTTATTTCATTTGCTTTGCTTGATGTTTTTATTATAGTGGTATAACGCTGTTGTGTTTTCAGTTCTTTATTCCAGGGTTCTCCTCAGGTTTGTTGATTCGGGGAAAAGCGTTGACATGAATATTTAATGCTCTCACTCTGCTCCTCTGTCTCCAGACGCTGCTTCGAGTTCCTGGACCTGCTGCTGCAGGAGTGGCAGAGCAGCTCTCTGCAGAGGTGAGGACTGATCCAGCTGTGGCCTGTCAAACATTTCTGAGATGCCGATGATCGTGTCCGGATCACAAAGACAGATCTGTTCTCACAAGCTGGAAGAAGCAGATGTTTAAACAGGGGCAGTTTACTGTGAATCTCCTCCTTCTGAGGAAACGTGACACCGGCCAGGTCGAGCTCTATCTCAGCAGTTTCCATGGCGATGTCAGGGGAATCTCTGTCTGCCTCCAAAAGGCTCATTGTGTTTCTGCCTGGCTGCTTCCTGCTGCCGCCGCCGCCGCCGCCTGGGAGAAACCCGAGCTGACCCCCCAGCACCAGGGGAGCTCTCCGGTTCTCATCGATCAGTCAGTCGATGTGAGAGAGACACTGAGTCTGATTCTGAATATCGCCCACCTACAAATCAGACTCCGCTTATACAAGAGCTGCTTTTCAAAGACAAAGTGCTCGGAGTTTATATAAATCAGGGATTAGAGAACGACCCAGACGAGTGTGTGACACCGTCACTGTCACGTACATGAAGCTGACGTCAGTTGTTTCTAAATCTAAATTTAGTTCACGTTTATATTTCTCCAAGTCTTAACAGAAGAAATGTTTGTGTTGATACTGTCGTGTTTTAGAATAAGCTCCTCTTATAAAATGGCAGCCTGTGTTCAGTCAGTCGATCTCTTGTTGCAGACACGGCACAGTTCTGATGGAAACCATAAAGAAAGGAGTCCACGACGCAGACGCCGAGGCTCGCTCTGTGGCCAGGAAGTAAGTCCCACTCATCCATTTACCTCTGAGCCGTTAGAGAGGGATCAATAAACCAAACCAATCGCAGACATGGTGAGTCTCTTACTGTCGTTCTCCGTCTCTCCGTCTCAGGTGTTACTGGAGCTTCCACAGTCACTTCAGCCGGGAGGCGGAGCATCTGTTCCAGGGCCTGGAGGCGTCCTATCAGAAAGCTCTGCAGGCTCACCTGAGGAGCGGAGACAGTCTGATGTCGCTGCCCACCTCCGACCGCTCCTCCTCCTCCTCCCAGGAGAGCCTCAAGTGAGAAGCCTCCTCCTCCTCTCTGATCCATCCATTTATTGATTACCTGGGAAACAAAAGAAGGTTTCATTCAGAAGCACTACAGCGTCCGATCGAGACACTGATCAGTCATCAGTCTTACTGTTCTGAATTACCCAGAATCCACCTGCTCACTGATGGAGGAAGAGTTTGATGAGACTGTTTGACACTTTCCACAGATTGATGACATCTGCTGCTCTAGTATTAGTTATTGATCGATCTGTGGCGTGATCAGTGACTCCAGTAGGTGATTAAAGGTCCATTTTAAATGATTTAACCATCAAATAATTCCATGCTTCATTTACATTGGTGTGGATGTTCATCAAAACATCCACTAGAGGGCAGCAACACACAGGTGATAATGTACAGGAGGCAGCAGGTGTGTGAGGTCATTAAACACGTCACACGACCTCTCCTCGGAAAGCTCCGCCTTTTTTAATACCTTCTCCCTCGTGTCTCTCTTGAACCAACGGCGACTTTGCCCCATGATTTCCAGATGTTCTGCTCTGCTTCACCTGTGTCTGTGAACTTTCAGAAAAGGTGCACAAACACACAGGAAGTCAGAGTACAGACAGAAGCTTGTGTACGTTTCCACGTCCGTATCTCACGCTGAGTGTAAACGAGCTTTCACTAAAGACTTCCTGCTGAATTCAGACCTGAAATAACTGAGTGTGATTCTACTTGAATTTAAGTTGCTAAACAGCTGATCATAAAAGGAGGTTTGACTCCATCTTGGTTCGTTTGTTCTCAGTCTGAGGTCGGAGTATTGATGATGTTTACTTCTTCTTCTTGTGTCTCCACAGTCGACCTCTGTCAGTGAAAAGCTCGGCTGGAAGCGGCTCGTCCAGATGTAAGGACTCCACGCTTCACGTGTAGAAATGTTTCCCTTGGGTCAATCTTTAGACACTCACTTTATTGTCGGACTTCTTGCAGCCAAACCTGGCCACGCCTCCAGGACGCCCGCAGCAGCCTCCTCTCAAGGCTCCCTGCAGCGTTCTCGCAGCGACGTGGACGTCAACGCCGCGGCCACCGCCACCGCCCGCACCAGGATGCCCGCCGTGCCCTCCGCCGTGCCGTCAGCTTCTCCCTTCAGCTCGGCCTCGGCCCTCCCCCCCGGATCCTACGCCTCTCTGGGTGAGACGGAGCAGACCACATCAGTGTGTCGCTGTCACATTAACCACTGCTAACTGTTAGTGTGTGAGCAGGTCAAAGGAGGAACGAAACATGGAGGACAACAGCGTTTAAATCTCAGTCAGGTTTATGAACACAAAGATGGATGTTTTCAGCTCAGCAGATATCTGCATGGTTCAGGGAATCTTTCACACGTGGAGACAAACGCTAAACTTGGTGCCAGTCCTCCTCCAGTTTTACTCTTGAAATAAAACACGGTAACCACTCAAAAATCCAAGATGGCCGCCATTTCTGGCAAGGAAATGTCACTTTTTGCAATAAGTTCATCCAGGATTTTCTCACATTCTACATTTTAACGCTGTAGAAGGTGAGAACTTTAGAGCACTGTAAAAATCTAATGAAAGTTCATTTCACAAAATCACACAGAAAATGTAAAGACAGAACCCCCCCCCTTAACACCCCTTAACCTCTTGACCCCTGACCCTAACCCTTGTTGTGTCTCTCCTGGACTCGCCCACCTGTCAGACGGCTCGTGGTCTGTTAATGCAGACGGTAAGCTGTGTGTGTGTGTGTGTGTGTGTGTGTGTGTGTGTGTGTGTGTGTGTGTGCGTGTGCGTGTGTGTGCGTGTGTGTGTGTCTGTGAGTGTGTGTGTGTGTGTGTGTGTGTGTGTGTGTGTGCGTGCGTGGAGAGGGGAATGATGCTGTGTGCCCCCCCCCAGCACTGTAATGTGGTCGTCTGTGATGGACGTGTCAGTGCATGGACTGTGTGCATGGTGTCCCCTACACTTGGAAACCTCTCGGTCTCTGTGGTTAAAAACGAAGGGAGCTGGTTGGCTGCTGGAGCGATGATGTCACATCCTCCCCCCTCAGATAGTTCACAGACGTCATGATGATTTTATAGATTTCCCAGAAGTCTCCTGTGTTGCAGCTTCATGTAACATCTGGTATCTGCAGCTTTAGGAGTCGGTTTCACTCTTTCACTCAAACACGTCTGACAGCAACATGTCCGTCTCCGAGCGGAGGCGGAGCCAGGGGGCGTGGCTTATACAGCTCCAGCCCCCTCGGATGTTTTCCCAAAAGCCGAATCTTTTGTAGAGTTTATAATAAAATTTCATTTCCTACTGGGGAGATATCGCCATCTACAGGGCGCCGACAGTTACCGCAGCCTTTAGGCCTCACGCTAAACACGTGGTTTCATCTTCAGCCCCGAATGTTTACAAAGTCTGGCTCCGCCCCTCCTCTAGGGGGAGACTTTGGGGACTGAAGCTACACCTGTGCACCTGTGTTCACCTGTACATTAGTGTCAACACCGAGTAACTCTCCCGTTGAACCGAGATAACACCTGGAGCAGCTGTTGATGTGAACGTGTTGTGGAGTCTGTTGGACACTGCTGCATGTGGCCGACCGAGTCTGTGTCTGTGTCGTGGTGTTTTTGAGTATTAGTCAAAGCACAGCTGCATGTGTCCGTCTGTACGTGTGGAGACAGAAACTAGAGACAAACGTCGTGTCACGGTTTGTTTTCAGGGAAGAATAAACCTTTGAAATGTGATGTGGAAGCTGCCCTCAGGTGTTTCAGAAATACCTGAAACATGACGGTGTTTCTGTTTTCCTGAATCAGTGACTGGTTCTTCCTCTGTCCTTCATCTCTGTCTCGTTCCCTTTGGTCTCACTTCCTGTTTCTGCATGACACAAGTGTAGAACGTGTTGACCTCCGTCCAGCAGCAGCTCCATGTTCACACCTCCCTCTCTCTCTGTTTCCCGCCCTCTACCTCCTCAGGTCGAGTCCGAACCCGGAGGACGAGTGCAGGAAACGGTCCGTCTGTGACAGACAGCCGTGGGCGGAGCCGAGGGAAAGTTGTCTCGCAGTCTCAACGTGAGTTTCTTCTTCTTCTTCATGTGTCTTTAATCAGATGTGGAAGTTTTAATCCAGTCGTTTTAACTGTATTTTCCCTCCTCACCAGCCGGGAGTCGGTCAGGTTCTCCAGGACGATTGCTGACCTCCACCTACGGCAGAGTCCCCAGACCGACGATGGGCACCGCCGCCGCCGCCGCCAACAGCACCTCCACCAGTCTGACCGACAAGAGCCGACCCCGAGGTCACCGCAGCCAGGGCTGCAGCCGAGAGACCAGCCCCACCAGATCAGGCAGGGATCAGCAGGGTGTTCAACCTCTGGGACGGAAATGAATTTCATAACGAGAACATCAATTCTCTAAAGACTAAATTTAACGAGTTCAAGCTGAAATAATCACAGTAGAAACATTTGACCCGCTCTCTCTCTGTTGAAGCTGAAGCACCTGAACCAAGCAAAGTTGTAGGTTACGAGTTTAAAGCAGCAGCTGAAACAGACACTGAAAGTTGAAGCAACAGGTTGATGAAGCTGCTGAAAGTTCAGAGTCGGCTCAGGTGTCGGTGCGACTGAAATAGAGCCGAGGAAAATGAAAGTTAGTTCACTGAAGCTTTTGTTTAAATAAAGTGTAAAAACAAAGACGTTAAACAGAGTTAAAGAGAAGAGTATCAGGCCACATGAGGAAAAAAATCTGAACTTTTGAGAATAAAGTCGAAATGTTCAAGAATTTAAAATGTGAAACTTCAAGAGAAAAAAACATAATTTTGAGGAATATTAAGATCAAACAGGTGGAAGGACAGTCAGTGGCAGCTGCTGTTTGTCTGTCGAACAACAGAATAAATGATGATGATGACGTTAGTGAAACCTAGTAGAACACAGGAGCCTCCACGTTAAAGCTCCTGCTGTTTCCCTCTAAAACAACATGGACCCTAAAATTACAACTTTATTCTCATTATATTATGATTTTTGTCTTGAAATTATATGATTTTATTCTCAAAATTACGATTTTATTCTGGAAATTTTAGGTTTTTTCTTCCTCAGTGTGGCCTGATACTAAAGAAGAGTCGAGGTAAAATCTCAGTTATATTTTAGAGTATGAAATTAAAGAGATTAATAAGAACCTCTCTTTGCGAAGCGTCTGGTGTCACTGTTCAGTAGCAAAACTAATTACCTGTCCAGGTGAACGAGGATTTAGACCTGAAACCAGAATCATTTCATGCTTTCAGAGTTAGAGGAGAACGATCAATCATCAGATCATGTTTGATAATGATAAATAAGTCTTACTGACTCAAAGTGAGTCGTGAAGTCGTGGTCTGAACCCATCAGAGATCTTAGAGATGGAAACCACAGCTGTAAATAACGTCTGGTGAACACCCTGTTACAGCAGCTGGTTAGAGAGAATCAGACTCCTCCATAGATGTGAGTCCAGACTTTGATTTTTCTTCTTGAGGGAAACTTGCACAGACTTGCATGTTCACTCCTGGTCCTGGTCCTGGTCCTGGTCCTGGTCCTGGTCTTCGTACTAATCCTCGACCTGCTGCCTCCTTCAGTCTGACTCTGTCTCTCCTGCCTGACTAACATCTCTGCAGAGCTTCAGGTGTGTCACTCTCTGGCTGGATGTGCTACAAGCTAAACTCTCCCCCTGCACTGCTGTCTGTCCCTCTGTCTGTCCCTCTGTCTGTCCGCATACTGCCTTGCCTCACCCCTCCAGCCCGGAGTCGAATCCCCCGACCGAGCATGAGTCAGGGCTGCAGCCGCGAAACCAGTCGCGAGAGCAGCCGCGACACCAGCCCCGCCAGGGGTTTCTCCCCCCTGGGTGAGTATGGTGCTGAAGCCCCCACCATGTCCTCCTCAACAATAGATTTCATTTAAGTTCCTGTAAAGTCTGGAAACTGACTGACCTCTCTCCTCTCAGCTGTCTGTGTCCTCCTGCCTGTTTCTCTGCCTGCTCTGTATCTGTCTGTTCTACTAATCCTGTGATCAGAGACTCCAGCTCGTACAGACAGAAGTGTTGCAATAAGAAGTCAGCTGTTGGTTCTCCAGAGGCCTGTACTATGAAGCAAGGTCAACTTATCCAGGATAACTTTTCACTCTCTGGTTTAACTGATCAGCTGAGGTTTTGATTCTGAGCAACATCGTCAGAACCTTGAATAAAGTATTAATGTGATACGAGAAGAAACGCTGACGCCTGCAGGTGTAGAAATCATTTCATTAATTAGGTCAGACTGAGGATATATAGTAAATGAGAACATGAATTATTAAGTTTCATCTTTTGTCTGATGAACAAACTGTTCATGTGATGCAGATGAAAAAAGTTAATGTCAGACTGTTCTGCTGCAGAGGCTATAGTACTTATTATATATATATTATTATTGTATATATAATACAATTATATATACAATATGATGTAATAATATATATATATAATAAACTACTGATCTTTATTATTGATCACTTCATTATAAACTCTTCTGTCCCTGTCAGGATCCTGTAGGAACGTTGACTCAGTGTTTCCAGGGATCTGATTGGTCAGTAGTTTGGCTGTTGACAGGTTTTGATCTGATTGAGAGCAGGTTAGGAGTTCAGCATCAGTTACCATGGTGATTTACCTGGTAACAAGTGAACCAGCCTCGTAGGACTGAGTTAAACCTGAAGTTACCTGATGACCTCAGATCTGCTTCGCGGCACAGGCCTCTGATCTCTGTACCATGGTAACCATGGTAACAACAGTCGTGTTTTCTCCTGGTCGTCCTCCTCCAGCGACTCGCCGTCACTCCCGCTCGACCAGCGCCCTGTCGTCTGCAGAGTGTTACTCAGGTGACAGCGAGGTGTTCACAGGAAGCAGATTCACTCACGCAGCCAGATAAAACAACACACGGTCCACCTTCAGTTATCTGGCTGCCTGAGTCTTCCTGCTTCGTGCATGGCTGACGTCCACAGCAATACATCCCACTCACCTGCAGGGGGCGACACTCAACATCAGCTCTTCACAACTACACAAACATGACGTCTGTCCTTCTGTTGCTATGATGGAAAGAAAGATTCAGTGGCTGTAAATTGTGAAGACAGAATATTTTCATCTTCTTAAGTTTATTTATTTTGACGTGACGTCAGACGCTCAGATTAATTAGACTCATGATTTATTTTATGTTAAATATTTGACTTTGAACAGTTGATTAGTTGGTGAAGACGACACTCTTTGTTTATTGCTTTGGGTTGGGTGTTTTACACACACTTATGTTGCTCACCTCCATGGTTAAGATCATCTGACTTCACTTGAAGAATGTTTTAATATAAGTGAAAGTTCCATCTCAGTCGAGCTGAGCCCATAAAACCCACCAGAACCAGGACCAAGACTCTCTTCACTCCCAGTCAGATCTCTTTATTAAAACAGATCCATCTCTGTGAAGTGACGAGGGTGTTGGTCTGATAAGTGCATGTTCCAAACTGCACCTTCATATCTGCACGGCTGAGTTTTATCCCTCCCCTCTCCAGCTGCTGACGGGTGTTTGACCTTCTCCGTTTCAGACCGCCTGTCCCATCAGGCTCGGATCTCGGCCTCCGTCAACGCCATGAGGATCCTCAACACCGGCACGGAGGTGGAGGCCGCTGTGGCAGACGCTCTGGTAAGAATTAAAGCGAATAGAAAAGAAATCAAAGTGCTGGATTTGTTGTACGATCCTGCAGTAACTCCCTCTGTGCTCTTTCAGCTGTTAGGAGACTCCAGGAGTAAGGTACCGCAGCTCCCCGTTCTCAGTGCATGTGCAGCATGAGCTTTAAACACTGACAGTCTGTTTTCTAACCTGCTCCTGAGACCGAAGCTGTGAACAGATTCTGAGTCTGGTTCAGTAAAAACATGTGGCCTGGTCCTGCATGTCTGTAGCTGCATGCTCCTCCTTCTCTCAGCTGTAGTTCTAGACTCGGCGTCTGAAGCCGTGACTGCTGTCGTTAGAGAAAAGTCAAACTCCTCGTCTTCTCCTCTTCGTCTCAGCGGAGGCCGGTGAGGCGGCGATTCGAGTCGCCGGGCATGTACTCGGACGACGACGCCAACAGCGACGCCTCCAGCGCCTGCTCGGAGCGCTCCTACAGCTCGCGCAACGGCGGGATGGCGCCGCACTACCTGCGTCAGACGGAGGACGTGGCCGAGGTGCTGAACCACTGCGCCAGCGCCAACTGGTCGGAGAGGAAGGAGGGGCTGCTGGGACTGCAGAACCTGCTGAAGAGCCAGAGGATGCTCAGGTGGGTGTGGTCAGGGTCGTGCGGCGGAGCGACCGTGACGTCGGCTCATGATGATAAACATGGTGTTTGTGTCTCTGACAGTCGGGTGGAGCTGAAGAGACTTTGTGAGATCTTCACCAGGATGTTTGCGGACCCTCACAGCAAGGTGAGATCCAGCTGAGCCTGCACATCTGGCCAGAGGTGCTGGCCTCTAACATCAGGCAGCAGCAGTTTCTTCATGAAGACATTGTTTGTGTGCAGAGTGACTGAGCTTAAATTAATCATCACATATTCACCTGAAGTGTGAGGCGGGCAGCGGGAGGTTCATGTTTGGATGGTGCTCAGGTTGTTCACGTGTCTGAACTAACTGCAGGACGAACTAACAGAGTGTGTTTTCTGTTGCATGCCTCGTCGCTGCTGCGGACGCTAACACACACCAGAGAGTAAGTGTTTACTGACCGTCGGACCGAAGCTGCTGCTTCACCACTCCTCACTGTCCCGACTCACACAGCCCCTTCTTCTTCTTCTTCTTCTTCTTCTTCTACTGCTGTTAGAGCTCTTCATGCTCTCAGTCCGACTTATTTATCAGATCAGACTTGAACCTCAGGTCTTCAGGTCGTGGCCTTTTAATTAAAACCCAAAGCCAGAACCAGAACCCACAGTGAGGCTTCTCTTTATTGCTGTTGACCTGAAGCTCAACACGTCTTTTAATCTGGCTTTGAACTGAATTTACTTTACTTTATTTATATATTCTAAGGTGGGTCTCTGTTTCTTATTCTTTTACTTTTATTTCTGGTTTTACTCTCTAACAAACATCTCTTCTGTTTTATTATCTTATTATTTTATCTTTATCTCTGTTCCAGTCTTCAGTGTTTCCTGTTGATTGATTGATGATGTCATTTCCCTGCTCCTACCCATCATGCCTCTCTCTGTCTCAGGTCTTCAGCATGTTCCTGGAGACTCTGGTGGACTTCATCATCCTGCACAGGGACGACCTGCAGGACTGGCTGTTCGTGCTGCTCACCCAGCTGCTGAAGAAGATGGGGGCCGACCTCCTGGGCTCCGTCCAGGCCAAAGTCCAGAAGGCGCTGGACGTCACCAGGTCGGCAGCAGCGATTAAATCTGTCCACTCTGACGGGTCCGTTTCCTGCGTTTACCGGCGGCGTCTCTGTGTTCTGATCTCTTCTTCCTGCAGAGAGTCTTTCCCGTACGAGCAGCAGTTCAACATCCTGATGCGCTTCATCGTGGATCAGACGCAGACGCCCAACCTGAAGGTGAAGGTCGCCATCCTGCGCTACATCGAGGCTCTGGCTCGCCAGATGGACCCGGCCGACTTCGTCAACTCCAGCGAGACGCGCCTCGCCGTCTCCCGCATCATCACCTGGACCACCGAGCCCAAGAGCTCCGACGTCCGCAAGGTAGGAGGAGCTTCGGCGCCACCCCCACCTTCCCCCAGAACACGGCTTCCTCTCCACGGTCCAGTTCCTTTATCCGTCACTTCTTTGTTTCATTTGTTGTTTTTTTCCAATCACCACTTCTCGTCCACGAACACCCAGACCCTCCATAACTGGGCGGGGGAGGATTTCTCAGGCCGACCCGGCACCGTGGCCTCTCTGCCCGGGGAGGGCAACCTGGAGGAGAGGTGCAAGCAGGTAGACCCTCCATCGAACAGCATGACCAGGCTCTAAAACCTGCTCTAACCCAGTGTGGGAGCAGCCGGCACGCTGCAGACCTGGTCTCTGGGTGGATCGCTGCAGATAACCTGACGACACTAACGCTCTCCACCTGTCTGCCTTCAGTGGACGTTCCAGATGTTTCCATGTGTGCATGAGCCGCTGTGACTCTGAGACTAACTGATGCTAAACATTAACAACATGAAGTTTCTTTTTCCAGAACGTTCTGCATGAGTCTTTACAGTCTGAGCGGGAAACCGTCGTCCTCCAGCTTCTGCTTCACTCACCTCGTGTTCCAGTTGAACGGACGTGCTGCATGTTCTCTGCTTCCTCACACGTCGTTCACTCCCACAGTTCCCTTCAGGTTCCAGTCTGGGCCCAGGAAATGTTTCCTCCCTTATATCAGTAATAATTTGAGCCTCCAGCCGCGTGATGTCAGTGACAAACTTCAGGTTTTAGGCGGCGAGACAAACTGAGAAACGTCAGCTGCTCATTAACATCCAGTCAACTCAAACAAGGAAGAGATAAGCAGGTTACAAAGGTCACAGGTGATTGATGAGTTACACGAGTAAAGCTCCAGTAGAACCAAGTAAAGACCAGCTGATTGTTTTTTACAGGTCAAATTCTTTGTGTCACAAACAGCAGAGGACAAACTTTCTACTGGACACAGGAAGTTGTAGAGATAAATCAAGTGACGTGTGTGTGTGTGTGTGTGTGTGTGTGTGTGTGTGTGTGTGTGTGTGTAGGCGGCCCAGGTGGTGCTGATCGCCCTGTTTGAGCTCAACACACCTGAGTTCACGATGCTGCTGGGAGCTCTGCCCAAAACCTTCCAGGACGGGACGACCAAGCTGCTGCACAACCACCTGAGGAACGCCAGCGCCAACAGCGGCATCGTCATGGTAACACACACACACACTGAAAGAGGAAGATAACTAACACATGTCCCAGTAATGATCAATTATTAATAGTCAAACAATCACCACAGTTTGAGAACAAGAAAAGATTTTCATTTCTGCTGTTAAAAGATATTTTCTGAAAATAAAAATTTGAAGCCAAATTTAAAGTTTCAAACTATTTAGAAGTGAAAACTGTCACAGCAGCTGAAATTTTAATAAACTCTAAACTGAACTTATTCAAATGTGTTTATTTAAAAAAAATCTTCACATCAAGTCTTTTATTTTTAAACCTAAACTTTTATTTTCTTAAAGCAAGGAAACATTTCTACTTGTTTTCTTTATTCTCGTGTGACGACCTGCCGCCATCTTTGTTCCTGTTTCAACATGGAGCCTCTAATTCCTACAAACGTCCTGAAACAAACTGAATCCTGATTTTTACCTTTGTTTTACATAAATTCAGGTTTTTAGGACTAAAAGACGATACGACTCGTAGTACAGAACTTTATTTTGAAATGCAGGTATTTTAGAAGAGGTAAACCTTCGCCGCCCTCTGCAGTTCTCAGGTGATTTCCAGATGTTTTGATGGTGTGGTGTGTGTTTTGTCGTCTCCAGGCGTCTCCCAGTAACTCGGCCGGTCGGACGCCTCCTCGTCCGCCGAGCAGCCGCAGCAGCCCTCTGACCTCGCCCACCAACTGCTCCCATGGAGGGCTTTCTCCCAGGTACGTCACACTGACACGCCCACTGCAGAAACACACCTGTAATCTAGAGTCACAACAACAACACCTGTGTTTGAATGATTGAACTCATCACGATCACGATCAGCTGTTTTAGCTCCAGTAGGAGGCGAGTTTTCACCTCGACACCAGATGATGAAGGTCGTTCAGTCGTGACGATGATGATGATGATGATGATGATGATGATGTCACAGAGTTTTTCAGCTTCTACGTCTCTGGTCCAGAGGTTTTACTTCGTACTAAAATATCACCTCACGATTGTTTATTGATTATTGATTAATCTGCAGATTATTTTAGAAATGAAGAATTAACTGAACATTAAATCATTGTTCCATCGATCGGCTGATTGATTGATTAATTGCTCTGATGTCTGATGTCAGAGTGGTGAACTGACTCCGCCCACACCAACACTCACAGAGAACAGTGCTCCTCCTTGTCCTCCACTTTTCTCACGTCTCTTCTCTCTGGGCTGCTCTCCTCCTCTTCCTCCTCTTCCTCCCCCTCCTCTTCCTCCTCCTCCTCCTCCTCCTCCTCTTCCTCCCCGGCCGGGTGCAGTCGGCTGTGGGGTTGGAGCGCAGACGGGCTCTCCAAGTTCCCTCCTCCACCCTTCCCCTCCCCTCTTCCTCCACCCACTGCCCACTCCTCCCTCAAGGCCCTGCGGCGAGCTTACTCCCCCAGGTAACCCCACCCCCTCCTCCTCCTCCTCCTCCTCCTCCTCCTCCCTCTGCTGGGGTTTCACAGTGGGTTTAAACACAGCTGTGTTCAGGACTTTACAGGATCTTTTATTGAAATGAAAATCATTCAAATCAACTTTAACCTGAGAAGAATGTGAGTGTCACAGATCTGGAGTCAGTTTTCTGGACGTACTGTGAAACCCTGACACCTGTGACTCGCTCAGTCTCACCTGTCGTCACTTCCTGCTGCAACACTTTGTGTCTCCATCTGCTGCAGCTGTCCCTCACTGTCTCTGTGTGTCAGTCCTCAGGTGACAAACTGTAAAACGTGTCTGTGCTTTACTCACCTGTTCGCCTCCACCTGTGTCCGTCTGTCACATGCACGGCTATGCACGTGCACTGGACTGGACTATACTGGACTGGACTTTACCGGACCGGACTGGACACAGAGGGCCGAGCTCTGACTGGACGGCGCTGCCTGTTTTCCTGGTCATGGATCAAACCTGGAGTCACAGCTTCAGCCGTGAACCTGACTTCACTGACGATCGTCTTTAGAGTCTAAAAGTTAATTTTATGATTTCTACATTTAAAAACTTAAAAAAATCAAACTAAGAAAATAAAGTTTGATGAAGTTTCCTGCAGCTTTTATTTTGTTAAGTTTTCAGACCCTAATATGAAACGGTTTGTTAGAAACAGGAAGTAGAAGTTTGGTCCATGTCGAGGAAAGAGTCCTCGGTCATTGTTCACAGAACATCAGTGCTGATCCACTGAGGCTGAACCTGAGCTGATCCTGGATCAGCACGTCTGTCTGAAGAACTCAAAGAACCGTCTGGACCTCCACAAACATCCTCTGTGGAGGAGCCAGGGAGCAACAGTCACATGTACCAACTGTTTCCTCCTGACCATGAACCTTATTATATTGTTATATTTCAATAATTACCCCCCCCCCCCCCGCAGCATGCTGGAGTACGACAGTGAGAACCTGAACTCAGAGGAGATCTACAGCTCCCTGCGCGGCGTCACCGAGGCCATCCAGAACTACAGCTTCCGCAGCCAGGAGGACCTGATGGAGCCGCTGAGGCGGGACGGCAAGAGGGACGGCTCGGTGAGGAGGGGGGGGAGGAGCAGGAAGAGGAGGGGGAGGGAGGAGGAGGGAGAAGGAGGGAGGAGGAGACAGAAGTTGAGAGAAAACTCTTTGGTCATTTGGAAACAGAAATGATGAACTAGTGATTCGATGCTTTTTGTCCGTTTGGTTCCGACTCGTTCTTCAGTCCGGAGTCGCGGCGTCCTCAGACTCCGACCCTCGGCTCGGCGGTGATGTGACGGAGGGCGGACGCACGGCCCTGGACAACAAGACGTCACTCCTGAACACTCCCTCGCCGCGATCCTTCGCCGGGCCGCGCCTCCGCGACTACAACCCGTACAACTACACCGACACGCTGGACAAAGCCGCCCTGAAGGAGGCGCTGTACGAGGACGCCGTGGAGCAGCTGCGAGACGGTCAGACTGTGTTCCCTTTGGTCGGGACAGAAGTCAAAGTCTTCAGTTTGTCATGTTGTGGATTTAATCTGAAATGTTTTTCCTGTTTCCTGTCGCAGGTCGTCGACAAGAGAGCGTGGAAAACAAGATCCTGAGCCCCAAAAGTTTCCCTGGTAACGACTCGAGAGTCACTGAGTCCGTCTCACAACGAAATACTCATGACTTCACTTCCTGTCTGTTTAAGTCTTTTCCCGCCGTCAGAGCTGTGAATGAACGAATGAAAAGTCACACACCATGTTTCATCATGTGTTTCATCATGTCCCCCCCCCTCCTGCAGCGGGCCCCGCCGAGCAGCTGGAGCTGGTCGGGGAGCTGCTGAAGGAGCTGTCCCAGGGCCAGGCGGGGGAGCGGGGCCCCGAGGAGCGACGGGGGACCCTGCTGGAGCTGCTGAAGGTGGCCCGCGAGGACAGCCTGGTGGTCTGGGAGGAGCACTTCAAGACCATGCTGCTGCTGCTGCTGGAGACGCTGGGGGACAAAGACGTAAGGACACACGTGTTTTTATCTCTGAGTCCGTCTCTGACCCCGAGTCTGGTTCTGAACGACCTCCTCTCTCTCAGCACACCATCCGCGCTCTGGCCCTGCGAGTCCTGAAGGAGATCCTGAGGAACCAGCCGGCCCGCTTCAAGAACTACGCCGAGCTCACCATCATGAAGGCGCTGGAGGCTCACAAGGACTCGCACAAGGAGGTGAGGCCCGTGAAAACCACACCCCCCTCCCTCCGCTAGGATTCATTTGTTCACACTCTCTTCCCTCCGCTCTGTCGAAGGTGGTGCGGGCGGCGGAGGAGGCAGCGTCCACGCTGGCGAGCTCCATCCACCCGGATCAGTGCATCAAGGTCCTGTGTCCCATCGTGCAGACGGCCGACTACCCCATCAACCTGGCCGCCATTAAGATGCAGACCAGGGCCATTGAACGCATCACCAAGGAGCCGCTGCACCAGCTGCTGCCGGACATCATACCTGGACTCCTGCAGGTGAGACGCACATCTTCTTTTATATAACATTCAAAATCAAAGGCAACTTGTTCCAGTGAGAATAAATCCAGGTGAGTGCAGGTGTTGACCCGGAGGAGACTCACAGCTGGAGCTGATCTTTAGATCACATCATCGATCTATCAGTTTATAGATTGATTGCAGAGCTTTTGATGCGTGTGTCTGAATGTGAGACGTTCACGTCACACGTGTCGCACACAACACGCTTCAACCAGAAACAAGGAAGTGAGTTTAGTGACATCATCAGGGTTTTGATGTGATTGATTCGCACAGAATTCACAGGAAGCGGTTGAGTGTGTGAGTCGTCTGTTGTCGTCCGCAGGGCTACGACAACACAGAGAGCAGCGTGAGGAAGGCCAGCGTCTTCTGCCTGGTCGCCATCTACTCTGTGATCGGAGAGGAGCTGAAGCCGTACCTGGCTCAGCTGACCGGCAGCAAGGTAAACGCCCTCCTCCTCCAGCTGCAGACAGCTGTGCAGTCACACACCTGTCAGATGAGTTTTATTCATTCTGTGAAACCGGACGAGTGCAGTGAGAGTGGAGGCGGAGCAGCTGCAGTCAGGGAGGCGGAGCCTTAATAACCCTCCTGCTGTTTCCCTCCAACAGATGAAGCTGCTCAACCTGTACATCAAGAGGGCGCAGACCTCCACCAGCAACAGCAGCAGCTCCTCCGACATCTCCTCCTACTAACGCCGAGCTTCCCGCCTCATTCCACCCGCTGATCTGACGTCACTGGGATCAGGATTATTTACATTATTAGGACCAGGACCGGGACCAGGACCGGGACCAGGACCAGGACCAGGCCCCAGCGCCCAAAACTATTTCATTCTTGAGGAGCTCGTGCCGCCGCAGCTCCAGTTTCCGGACCATTTTCCCGCCATCTTGAAAGCTTAGATCATCTTCTGGGAGGTAAGGTGATCCTGGCAGCTACGACGTTTCATAGAGACCAGGTCCTGAACCTGAACCTCCACACTTCCCCTTAGAGTCATGAGCCTTAAGTCTTCATCCTCCGTCGACGAACGGTGGAAGAACCCGTTCTCCAGAACATCTCCTCCTCCCGCTCGCTCCTCGAGGCGCCATCACGTTGTGGATTTAAGGTGGAGCTGAGAAAAGTTTGTGAACGTCGTCGTAGCATCGAGACCGTCGTCTTAAAGGAGAGTTTCAGTGTTTTTATTCATTTTAGAACCTTTTAATCAAACTGTTAATTTGCTTTGACACATCAAACTTTCTCGTATATTGAATGTAAAGAGCTTTGAACGCGCGTGGATCTCACCTGTGTTTCTCCTTCCTGAACTGCTGCCTCGTCGCACCTGGTGGATCAGTCCGAGAGGAGTCGCAACATTTTCCAGTTTCTAATCCTGCGTTTGGTGAATTTTGAGCTTTTAGAGAAAAGTGGCACAAAAGTCTTTTAAAGGCTGAATTCAAGGGTCCATCTGAAGAGTCACATGTCCAGCATCATGAGCTTTGATTGGCCGACACCGAGCACACAGAGGACCGTGTCCGCTCTTCACAATGTGAAATCACGTTTATATGAGACGATCATTTGGCTGGCCAATGATTTTAAACACTACAGAGATTAAAGAGAAGAAGAAGAAGCAGCAGAAGATTTCAGTGTTGTTATAAAAACTAAATCAGTTTCTACCTGTGAAGGAAAGAAGAACTTTATTCCATCTGTGTGAAACTCATCAGCTCAATTTCCATTTAAAAAATCAATGATCAATAATTCATGTTTCCTTCCTGGATTGAAAAATGTAAAAACTGAAACGGGAGTTTTTCCACAGATAAACATCATCTGATTCTGAAATTAGAAATGAAATTGATTCAATCAGCTGCAGGAAGTTGAAACAAAAATCAATCACAACAAACAAGAAAAGAAAATGTTTCCACTTTTCTAACAGAGTGGTCCCTCTCTCTGGATAAATGGAAAAGGAAACTGAGGAGTTTGACATGGACCGTATTTCTCATCATATATATCTGAATTGATACGTTGGGCTTTAATGTGAGGAAGTAAAAGGTCACAGAGGAAGTAACAGTATTAACACTTTAGGAGAATTAAAGCAAACCACTGAATCGACAGCAGCTGCCTTTTCCTGACGGATGTGAATCATAAAGTCCAGCTCTGCTGTCACGTCAAGACTACTGTGATTTATTAGTTTCATTCCAAAATACTTTAATATATAAATATATATGTTACACTAAAAGATGATCTGAAGTTCAGGATGAAGGTCTAAAACAGTATCAGTATTTAAATTGATGACAAAGTGTCGTCAGTGTGAAGAAGCTCCTCTGTATCAGCTGATCCTAAATTGAATGTAAGTCACTGTAAGACTTTTAAAATGTGAAATATTTGAGCAAACGACAAACAGGCGACAGTTAATCTGACAATCTGAACCAGTAGATGCTACTGAAGGTTAGCGACACGGCTAATCGATGAGCTGTAAAGTGCCAGCGTTGAAAATGACATCAGCAATAAAGTGAGAAACCAGCCCGGATGTTGAGGTGTCAGATTCCACTGCTGGTCCAAGAACACACCTTTTTATTTTTAAAGTGCACCTATAATGAAGCGTCACTGCTGCTTATTCTAACACTAACAAACGCACCTAATAACTCCAGTCTGTACTGCTCTCAGCAGGAAGTTCGACTCCTGACTCCTTCAGCTTTCCTGGTGCTAAACTCCGCCCGTCTGCCGCGCCAGGCAAGTCCAAACAAACGCTCCAGAGGAGGTTTAAGTCCAGGACGAGTTTGACATTTTGGGAAATGCACTAGTTTGTTTTTTATGTCATATTTCATCTTTTCTTCTCATCTGATTAAAAAGCAAATAAACAACAACATTTCCCAAAATGTAGAAAGCTGTGTTGACGGGACGAGAGCCCAGAGCGTGAAGGTGAATATTTCCAGGCCTTACTTTATCTCCGAACACTGGGACTGTTAAATGTACTGTAGCGGTGCCAGTGTCGTCTCTCTGGACTGAATGTTTCCTCCAGAGTCGATGAAGTCCTCCGCAGCGTGTCGTCCGGTCCCGGTGACCCAGTGTTATCCCCTCTGAACTCATGTCCCTTTACTCTTTTGTACAGTGTGAGTCAAACCGTCTGAAGTCCGTCTGCATGCGTCCCTCACAGGAACCGTAGGATATTTCTCCCTGTGTTAGTTTGACAGAAGCAGTCGAGCTAAATCTCCAACTTTAAACATGTACCTTTGATTTCCTGAATGTGTGCCTTTGGGTCAAGATTTCTGGCAATATACCTGGTTGTCCTGTACATTACTAACCTGTACTAACACTACACCACACTGCTTCTTAATGTGACAACACAGTTTTAATGAAGAGATGCAGTGCTGTAAATACGCCTCAATATTTTCCATTGAAACCACTCACAGTGCATGGCTCCTGTTTTTCTAGGTTATTAGTTTTATTTCATGCTTTACAATATTTATATTCAGTTTTATTTCCCTGTGTATGACTGTATATATTTACATGTTTGGTTCCTTTCACCTGTGATAGACTTTCAGAACATGAAATAAACTACCAGACTTCTACCTGGTCCCACGGCTTTTATTTCTCTTCTCGTGGAGTAACGAGTGTGGTCCAGACCAGACTAGCTAATGAGCTAGCTAAGCTATAGCTACATCAACACCTGGGAACAAACTGGTGCTCTAAGCAAAATGATGTTTCACGACCACAGCAGAAGATAAACATCTTTATTAGAACAAAAATGTAATTTAGGCAGAGACATATATGAACATGACCTCTGAAGGTCACTAGAGGTCAGAGGTCAGATACAAACTGCCTCCATGTCTGAAATAAAACCTCAGCTGCTGAAACTTCATCATAAAACATACAGTGGGTTTGTCTGTCCCACTGTGAAGATAAATGAATAAAATCAAAGACAACGTTATCATAAAAACACGAGAGTCTTTTTAAAATTATTTCTCTTTATTCTTCTTCTCTCCAGTTTGCTGACAGGTGTCGTCACCTGTACGAGTGGTTAAAGTTAAACCCAGAGGAGGAACAGTTCTGAGGAGTTTCATTAAAGTCATTTCCTGTTTAAACCTCTGAGGTTGTTTAATTAAAATTATTCTCTGAGGCTGAAAGAGACTAAAAATAATACATGTTTATTTTAATATCTTTGTATTGTGGTTTTTAAATGTACAAGATAAAGAAAAGAGAAGGAGGCGGGAACCGTCGTCACTGTCGCTGCTTCAGAATACACAGTATTTTACACTGAACTGTTGAAGCTGTGGAGCTTCCTGTGTCGCAGTACCTTTAGAAACTACGGTGTGAACTCCATTTCCCATGAGTCCGTGCATGAAAAAGTTACAGAAGTGAAACAGTCTGAGTGACATCACTGTCAGCTTCAGATGTTTCCATTAAAACCACCACCAGGCGGCGCCCTCAGCCCTCGATTGACCAGCGAGTCTTTTTCTGCAGCTGCTCCGTCACTGATTGATCGAAACTCTTCATGCTTATTGACGATTGGCGAATCAGTTTATTGATCAGTTCTGTCTGGTTTTGTTGCTCCAGTGTTTCCTTTGCTCAAGGACACTTCAGCAGGACGTCATGTAATCAGACCTGTGACTTTTTATATGACAGGATGAAGCCGCTCTTTGTTTTGTCCCTCAAACTGAGACAGACTTAGAGAGAGAGACAGACAGGGAGAGACAGGGAGAGAGACAGACAGACAGACAGGGAGAGAGAGAGACAGGGACAGACAGATAGACAGAGAGACAGACAGACAGAGAGAGAGAGACAGACAGACAGGGAAAGAGAGAGACAGGGACAGACAGAGAGAGACAGGGACAGACAGACAGACAGAGAGAGAGAGACAGACAGATAGACAGAGACAAGGACAGCTCAGATCAGGGTGTCAGGCAGGTACAGGTGATCAGTCACCTGTGTTAAACTTTATTCATTAATCAGGAAAAACAAATATTTTAATTGAATAGAAATAAAACTAAAATTATAATATTGACTTTTAATGAAATGAAATCACAGTTGTGTCTTTATGAAGCCACAGATTAATAACGTGTAAAAACAAAGAATAAATAAAAATAATAGAGAAAATAAAAACAATGAACTGATGATTCATAAATAACATCTGTAAGTTTTAAGCAGATGTGCTGATTTTATTTCATCAATATAAATATAACAAACTCGAAGCAGCGTGTATGAAATATATCAAATATTCTGCTTTATGTAGTTATACACACATATATATACTGTATATGTATGTATATGTATATATATATATATATATATATATATATACACACACTTATATACAGTGTAATCCACTGGTTCCCAACCTAAGGCTCGGGCCCCCCCAGAGGGTCACAATATAAATCTGAGGGGTTGACAGATGAGACGACTGATTTTAGATTTGTTTTGTAAAATATTGAATTTGTTTTTGTCACAAAACAGAAAGTTGCAGCCACTGATTTCATTTGTTTGTCATAAACGTCATGATGTCGAGTCTGAATCTGGAAAAACACAAGTGGAAGAAAAGTGAATTTAATGACAGTAAATAAATGAACTTTGTGTTTAATGTGTTTTATTAGAGGAAAAGACTCAGGGTCGTACATGTTGGCGGGTTGAGTCTCTTTGGGTCTCACAGGTGAGTGTTTGATCTGTGTGGTCAGGTGACCTCGCAGAGCTCCACTGATCTGATCAGGCCATATTGGTGATTACAGATGATCAGTCTTCAGGGCCTCGCTGTTTGGTTTACAAGCTCCGCTCCGGCTCCGTATAAATCTTTAAACATCCCTCGGATCGCTGGCTGCTAATGGGGCGTTTCATTCGTAGATCAAAGCGGGGCGCGGGGACGGCGCCGCGGCGCCCGATGAGTCCTCCCCACCGTCAGACCTTCAAACGGCTTCGTTAGCATCTCTCTCAGCGGTGGCCGCGTGTCGTCGCCGAGGCCCGCCTGTTTCATCAGTATGCACACGCTGTTGAAAATTAATTTCATTAAAGGCCCTCTGTTTGCAGCCCCCCCTCCCCCCTCCTCCCCCACCCGCCCCCCTCCTCCTGTTTAAAAGCCCTCATAGTGTATGATTAGCGCACATTTCCCCAACCTGGCTGGGAGTGGCGGCGAGGTCGGGAGGTCGTGCAAATGAAAGAGAACGACTTCATTGTGAGATGACTGGCCCATAAATCATCGGCCGTTTTCTATAAATCACGGCAGATGGCAGGGAGCGAGCCGAGGCTCATGGGAGCTCGTTGCGGCCCCAGTGCATGATGGGAAGGGCCGGGCTTAGCTGCGGCGGAGGCTGGCAGAAGCGCGGGGTCAGTTCCAGTTTGTGGATGTGGAAGACGTGAGGTGCGGTGGAGGCGGGCCAGAGGCCGGGCCGGCGCCCTCCCCTCCCCCCGCCCCTCCGCTCAGGCCCGGGCTCACCTGATGAGATGCAGACCCCGGAGGTCCGCGTACAGCACCTCTCCACGCTGCCCTCCATTTAACGGGTCTAATCTGCCTGTTTAATATGGAGACAACTTCACCCCCCCCTCGTCCCCGAGCTGCGCTGAGACCTGTCAGGTTGACACTAAATGTCTGCCCAGGAGGGGGGGTGTGCCAGGCCAACTCACGTCTTCATTATTCATCAGGATTATTTAACAGAACAGGATTCACTGCAGCAACACGCCCGTCCGCTCTCTGTGTTCCCGCTCCACGTCTCCATGTGTCGACACACAGGAAGTTTCTGCTGCTTTAACTCCATTCAAACATCACAGGTTTCACTTCATCAAGCCGGAGTCACAGAAACTGCAGCACAGGTTCAAACCCACAGCAGAACAACAGTGTCGGTCATTTCATGTGTGTTAGAACAGAGCAGCTTAAAAATGAGTCAATATCAAACATGAAGAACTGAAACAAGCTGATGTTTCATATATGATCAAACTATAAAGGTGTGAAACTGATTGAAGCTGAAACATACAGAGTGAATCAGGACGTGGTGCGACAGAGAAATAACACGCAGTTTAAAAACACAGATTATAAAACAGATATTATCTCATCCAGCTTCAAGATTAAATGAAGGTTTTACTTCGTTTTAAAAACAATTGTAACCACGTCTTCATTCTGCAGCAGACTCCAACACGCAAGGAATATTCTTCAGTGTGAAATGATCTTAGTTAAAATAAGATGAATCTTTATAAGGAAATAGAAATTTAACACAGCAGCACAAAAGAAAAGCAGCAACGAGGGGAAATATAATAATATTAATATAATAATGAAGAAATAAATAAGATGAAATAGANAGGCACATTATCACACACACAATGTGCTCGACAGAAATAACACGCAGTTTAAAAACACAGATTATAAAACAGATATTATCTCATCCAGCTTCAAGATTAAATGAAGGTTTTACTTCGTTTTAAAAACAATTGTAACCACGTCTTCATTCTGCAGCAGACTCCAACACGCAAGGAATATTCTTCAGTGTGAAATGATCTTAGTTAAAATAAGATGAATCTTTATAAGGAAATAGAAACAGCAGCACAAAAGAAAAGCAGCAACGAGGGGAAATATAATAATATTAATATAATAATGAAGAAATAAATAAGATGAAATAGAGATACTATATACGATATAAAATAAATCAGTGGTTGTGTAAATATAATAATAATAATAATAATGTGACTCAGAGTCTCTTTGCTCAGCTGATGGATCATGTACAGTAGAGCGGTTCCTCTTGCTTCCAGTAGAGGGCGCTTCAGAGCTGCTGACTGTGACACAGACTGGACTTTACCTGATGAACAGCAGCTTCCTGTGGAGGACAGACAGACAGGTACGGTCCCTCTGCACCTGGCGGACCCGTTCCTACCTGTGTGTCATCAGAGACCCGTCTGCGCCCTGATTGGCTGGTGTGGGACGTGCGGACGTTGCTCAGAGCTGCAGCGAATCCCTCTGACTGTACATCTGGTCTGAACGGCGTCTTGTGATAATTGAGGGCGTTGTGTTTTTTCAGTCTGTGTTTGAAGAGTTTGTTTTTGTGAACACAAGAAAGAAAAGGAGCTGTTTGTTATTTCTCTCTCTCCAGACTCCGGGGGTTAAACAAAGAACAACCTTTGTTTTTTCTTGTAGAAATGTGAGGCTGCTCCATCTGAAACTTGTCAGCTCCAGAGCAGAAAGAGAAACAGCAGCAGGTGTCAGGTGTCACAGCCTCAGCTCCTTCCTGTCACGTCTCTTCCAGCTTTATGAACGAAGGAGATGCTCGTCGTCGGAGGGAGGCCGAACGCCGGTGACGTAAACTACAATCAGCTCCTCGCAGCCAAGTTACAGGAAACACGCTCTTCTCCTGTTCCTGCAGAACGTGATGATGTCACAGTGAAGTTGACCTTTGACCTTTTGGATATAAAGTGCCATCACTTCTTTTTATCCTTATAGACATTTGAGTTAAATTGTCTCCTAATTAGTGGATGAATTTGTGAGTTATTTTGTGAGGTCACAGTGACCTTGACCTTTGACCTTTGATCACCTAATTCTGATGAGTTCATCCTTGAGTCTTAATGAATGTTTGTGTCAAATTTGTTCCTTCAAGGTGTT